TGATCAGGTAAAATGAGGCACTGAAATGTAATAAGTGTATCATTGACTAATCCTCATTCCTAATTTTACATGGGTTATAACTCAATACCTAATGATTAGCCATTGTAATGGTATTCAGTCAATGTGTTTGAATTCAACGCTTCATAGTTTTATGCGTAAATATATCATGATCACTGTTCAATGTTATTCATGGGTATCATAATAATCGAGTATTTGCTTCGTGTGCTTCAACTGATTATAATTGTAACTGTGCGAAATCTATCCTAAATTCGGTCATTATTTAGCACTATTTAATATTTGTTGATGCTTATCATTTCTGGCATAGAATGGACGTACAACTGATTAAATCAATTTTCAAATAAAGTTTAATTTGATGGCATAAACAAATGAATATTGAATAATATTTCTCAAAATATCACTCAAGTTACCATGTTTAATGTTTGAAAGATACTTTCTTTACAGATTGGACGGATGCTGAACTGATACAAGCAATATATTTTTTTACAGATTACTTAAATTTTCAAAAGTAGCATAAACCAAATTTAGGTAGCCTATGTCAATAACATTTTACATAACAATGAAGGATGTTAAGCAAAGATGGATAGTGGCTAGCAGTGGAATCCAAGACGCGTGTTTCGTTCTATTTCGAACTCGTCAGCTGGATGTACCTGCATCTTAGAGTTAATGTCCCCTCTGGGACTCGAACCCAGTAAATTTCGCTGTAAACGCCATCACGTTATCCACTCAACTACTGAGTCCTGATAGCTAGTTGTTAGTGCAATGGCGTCAAGTTTAAATCCGTTTTGTATTGTTTGTTTCAATCTTCCCATTGATGTTTGGGACTGCAACTGGTCAGTCTCTAATTGACATATGTACATACTGTGCGTATTGTCTTGACATAGCCTTGATTCACAAACATTATAAGCAAAGATGGATAGTGGCTAGCAATGGAATCTAGGACAATACTAAGTGAATGAAGAATGTTATTGTTTGTAGAAATAAAAATCTCAAACTGTATTGAGTAACTTAATCAATATATCTTAGACATGTTATAACCAATTTCATTTTATTTATTCTATCCAATTATCTACCTACAACTTCATCACTAGTCACTACTACACTTTCAACAAAACACATAAATTATCTAAAGTATTTTTTTCGTAGATAAGATATTTGAGTAGAACAACGGAATGTTGTCATTATAGTTTTTATATATATTTTAAAGTAGCCTTATTAAAAATTACTTTTTCAGTTAAGACGTCGATAAATAGTACCCTACAGTGAACAACACAAATTGACGATAAATACAACTACACTTCCTTGTATTTTATGGTTCATTGAGTTGCCAGTATATCGGAAGATAATACCGTATATATATGACTTTAGAGAATTATTATCTAGTGGATATAAAACTCTTCAAAATCATCTCCAACCAACCTAAAATACAAAATAAGATAAGATATAATAAATAGTACTGTTTGGTATGGAATTATAAAAAATCATTCAATGGGATTATTCGTATGATGTAACAATATATAATGGAAGATGAAGTGAATAAGCCTTCATTTCATTAATTTTTATTTATCTGTTTAAATGCATGATGATTGGTACAAGGAGGCACCAAATACATATGCACCACACAAATCATTCGATTTATTTGAGGGCTGGAATACTACTCGAATGCCTAAACCGAAACTGGTGGTTTTCTTAGGAGATCAGTACCCAAGCCCTTGACCTAAAGTTATAATTCAAAAAGCAGTGGAGCAACGTAAGGAGATGCAGTTCCATGGTAGCCGGTGGCCAATAAATGCTTCATACGCCATTTGTCCCTTAAGGATCCTGGAGCATATGCACACCATTGATTTGGAGTCAGGGTTTTCCAACTCCCCTAGGTGAATCTTGCATACCCACCAACCCGGTTAAATAGCCGGACATTCTCTTTTCGTCCTCTCAACTTCGTAAATAACACCCCGTTTGCGAGAAGACGGTGAGTAGGAATTCCCCGGCAGTGGCTTTGATCAAAATTGAAATAAATTGAGGAAAAATTAAAAAGAAAGGAGAGTTCGGCAGTTTTTTTGTTCAAGTACAGGACTTTTAACTGACAACACAATTTGTATGTTTAAATCCCTTCTTCGACCTGTTTATTGTGGATTTACTCAGTGTACACCATTCAGAATTACACAGATAATTTCATATATCTTCTCTATAACTTCCTGATTGATATAAAAAAACGAAATATTCTTCATTTAAACAGCGTTCAACACCATTTAATTTCTGGGTTCCTCAAGTTCGCATTTCTTTTATGATCCCCTTACCATAAAGTGAACATCTTCAATTTGTGCTAGTGGAAGTCTTTGATTAAATTTAAAGAACTAAGAAACCGTCTGCAAATCAGAATGATAATCACCACTATACATCAACCATACATATTGATCAACTTTTAACTTATTCGTTCATCTAATGTCAAATGTTTAGAGAGATTGGTACCAAACTACAGTGAAACAATTGTCTCTAGTCCTATAGTTTTAGCGATTGTCTAGTCGACATCAATTTGTAATGACAGTTGCCTTGGAATTAAATTACTGTGCGATATACAGTACAAGAAGGTTTTTCATTATGAACTGATATCAGGTGTGGAATCATTGAAAATCACGGAGAACTCAATAGGTAGTTCCAATTAGCAGGAAAGTATATCTGGATTTTGCTACTTACGATTTCTTACTAGAGCCTCACTAACATTAATCGATTTCAGTCATTAGTAAGGAAAAGATAGTTTATTTGAATGGAGTAGTTTCAAAGCGTAACGAAACGAACATCTAACACCATCCGATTTTCAATGGCTTCCTAGATGACGTCATTTTGTTTCGAAATACATCTCATAGTAAACTATTTATAATAGATAAAAATCTCAGTATTACTTTAATGAGAATGGTTTTGGGTCACATATATACAAATGGTCGCAATACCAAACTCATTACAGAAAATATTTAAAGATTTTATTACCAGACAAATTCGAGGATTCATTACTATAAAAAATGTCTAACGTTAAGGATGCATAATTAGACCTTATGACGGAATCCTCTTTGAACAAGTTAACACTATTCTCACACACTTAACTCATATCATAGTTTCTTTCTAAATCTTATTATCTTAACCTGTTATTCAGAATGTTTCACTGAAGAAACCAAACTAACTTTCATAATCTTGCAAATCCGTTACTTCATTTTTTTAGCATTTCAATTATTGAGTAGTAGTAGTAGGGGATTTAATCATCAGTCACTGTAGTGTTTTATCAAGTTCCACTTCAACAACTCCAGTCACTTTAATCAGGTTATACCATTTCAGTCATTACATAATCTTTTCTATTCAAAATTAAATATACAAGCTTATGTACATGTCAGATAAGTTTTTCCATTTTCTGCATTCTTCTTTTGTGAATTAGATTATCATTTCCAAATGATTTTCATTACGAACTGTCAATAATTGAAAAAGAAAACAACTAAAAACTAGACACACATTATTGAATAACTAATTTGTATGACTTCAGCTGATAACTGTACGTTATAAGAATCAATTTCAGGATTAATAATACCCATTAGAAATAAGGAAAAAAATTTAGCTTTTGTAACTCACCTACCGCTGTGGTTAAATTCATGAAGCCTGAAAACAGAGTTTATGGATTCAATCAGTATTGTTTGTTTGAATCTACCCATCCATGTGTTAGGACTGCAATTGATCCGTTTCTTATTGGCATATGTGCATACTGTGCTTATTGCCTCGATGTAGCCTGATAATGACTGTTAATTAAGGGTATGTCGAGGCAATACGCACTATATGCACATATACCAATAAGAGACTGATCAATTGCAGTCGTAAAAACGTCACTGGGAAGATCCAAACAAACAATACCAACTGAATTTAAACTTCACTCCATTGCACAAGCAAATGGCTATCAGAACTCAGAAGCTGAGTGGATAACGCGATGGCATCTGAAGCGAAAATTGCTGACTTTGAGTTCCAGAGTGAACATCAACTATGAGATGCAGGTACATCTATCTGACGAGTCTCAAATGGGACGAAACACGCGTCTTGGATTCCACTATCCATCTTTGCTTACAGACTACATGGAGATAACATTTTGTTTACACAAAAACAATCAGTATTCAATAGCCAAATCATCAGATAACGAATAAATGTATATTAACCTTTGTTTTTTTCTTTTAATTTTACTGTCATTCATCTCATTTCAAACTGTGTAGAACAGAGTAAATGTTTTTCTTCTTTTTTTTGTTTAATGATATGATATTTTCAAACAACCACATTTCATCAAACAATGCACATAGACGTGTTTTAAGGGAGGGAAAACCAAAAAATATAAAGAAACCATCATTTTAAAATTATTCAGACAGAAAAAATCATAATTACAAACACAAATCTAGGTCAATTCAATAAGTATTATTGTTATTATTTAAACACATAAATATTGATGCTTAGGGGCACCAGATATATATGCGCCACACAAATCTCATTTGATTTGTGTGAGGGCTGTGATACTGCCCGGGTGCTGAAACTGAAGCAAGTGGTTTTTTTAGGTGGCCACACCCAGAGTCTTTGACCTAAAGATCTGATCCACAAGACAGTGGAGCATCGTGAGGTGCAGTCCCATGGTAGCCGGTGACCAACTACTGGTTCATATGCCATTAGTTCCATCAGGATTCTGCAGCTCATGTGCACCATTGTTTTGAAATCAGGGTTTTCCAACTCTCCTAGGTGGACTTTCTGTGTCCACCAACCCGGTTAAAGCGCAGGACATTGGCTTTTCGTCCTCTCAATTGGTATCTTATCGTAGTAAGAAAAAATTTCTTTCGGGCTTCTGTTTCCTTCCTTATTATATATAGTTACAAAATTTGTCTGATAAATATGATTAATTGATATATTGAATAAATCTGAATAACTATATAATGGATGTTATCGTTCACTTTTAAACTCTTCCAATTTAGGATATTTCTAAAAACTTGACTAATGATACATTAAATCCTTTACAACAACAATGGAGAAATCTTACTAATAGTATTAATAAATCTTGTAATCAAAGTGAACACTTTACAACGGATGATCTTGAATGTCAATATATTCATTGGTTGAAAAATATTGAAGATTCAACAAACACAGTGAGTTCTAATTTATTATATATTATTATTAGTTCTAATTTTATGAATGTCTTGCTATTCATAGTGATTTTGTTACTGAAGGTGACGGTGGTCACGTTTGGAATACAACAAAACGTTTGTTCAATGAAATTATGCAATATGATATTAATTATAGAAGGGGTTTTGTGGAGATTTAGTATTTATCATTGTTGAAATCGTGAGTCAATTGAAGCTAGACCACCATGGAAAACCTGGAAACACTGGACAGCCGTTTCGTCCTATTATGGGACTCCTCAGCAGTGCGCATCCACGAACCTGCTCTCGCGAGCGAGATTAGAACCCAGGACCTACCAGTCTCGAGCCGAAGCCCTTAACCGATAGTGAGAAGCAGTGACCAGTGAAGTTCAAAACCACGTCTGTTGTGAGATAGGAACTCACTGAAGAAAATTGGTGAATGGTTGCTCAACTTCGTGGATCAGTTGAAGTTAGACATTAACACCGTTGGATGCCAGCTCAGTGATCTATCGGTTAAGGGCTTCGGCTCGAGACTGGTATGTCCTAGGTTTGAATCTCGCTCGCGAGAGCAGGTTCGTGGATGCGCACTGCTGAGGAGTCCCACAATGGGACGAAACGGCCGTCCAGTGTTTCCATGTTTTTCATGGTGGTCTAGCTTCAATTAACTCACGCTTTCAACAATGATAAATATGATATTAGCTTATATCAAGTCAAATAGTGTTTTAATATCATTAACAAAGTAATGTGTGTTTTCCTAAAACTGAAACTCACTGAGGGTTATATCCGGTAAACATAGATTCAACGTTTAAAAAAAATTAAAATCAAAGTTTTTATATTAGTCGTATAAAAATGAAAATGTGTTATGTAAAACACATATAGAATCATGTGATCACTAGTGACAAGTCGTCACCATTACAGTTGAACAGTATTGCAAATGAAGTAGTTACCCACTGACAGCATTCAATGGTGGTCGCTCAAAATCGTGAACTCACTGAATTTAAAGATGTAAATTGCCAGATTCCAACTCAGTGATTGAAGTTTAAACGCTTACCCTGAGATATCAATATACTGGGTTCGATCCTAAGTGTGGTTGTGTTCGCGTGTTGTTGAGAAGTTCAGATTAAGACAAAATATTTATCTAGTGTTCCTGAGTTTTCAACAAAAAATTGATGATAAAGGTGTAAGAGTTTTGAAGTGTTTGAAGTGTTATAATAAACTGATTCATTTATAAATCTTACTTCAGTAATTAAAGTCAACCGGTAAACATTTGTGAACCAATTTTAACCGTCATTCAACATTTATCAACAAACTTCATAAAAATCAATGTTTTTGTCATAACTTGTGGCTGATTGGATGCCCTGTTAACGTATGACGTGATAAGACTGCCAATCAGAGAGCAGCGAATTATCAGTCGAACCAGTGACGCACGAAACCTGAACGAGCAGTCTAGATTACTTGTCAGTCCCGCTTTCTGCCTAGCCCAGCCAGTTGAGTCCAGAAGAGCCTCTGCGGTATGAATCATTCTATTTCAAACATACAGAGTTTATATACCAATCAAACTGACCACATCTTACCATAAGATAGAAAATAACATTTGTACAAGACTCAGCTAAATGTGGCTGTGAATAAGGAGATAGTAAACGTATAATCCAGGAATGGTAAATCGTATAACAATAGTTTATAGTTCAAAATAAAGTTTATAAAAAGGGGAACATGAATATGAATAGTTTAGTTATTTAGCGATTATACGATAAAAATTGTATGCATATTATTGGTTCATAAATAGATCCCAAAGTTACCGTTCAATATCCTTATTGAGGCATAACAGTTTTCTTGGAAATGCTAATGGTTAATACTCAAAGATTTAACTATAAACACTTTCTAGTACAATATTCGGCTTTCTTCCCAATCAGTATAGTTGTATTTGAAACTGAGCTACAATTTTTATAGTACGAATTGTAAAAGTGATAATCTGTTTTGCGAACAACATAAATTCGAGTGAAATGTTGCTTAACATTTAGATTGTACTTCAATATTGTTCATTTGCTTTAATGTTTCAGACTGAAAACAACTATACGGAGAGGATAATAATATGAGTTATAACTGGAAACTGATACGAAAAATTACGCTTGATACTTACAATTCTTATATATTGTTGATTTTTCGAAAGGTGTCAAGCTGATTAAACAAAGTCACTCATTTTTATTATTTGGAATTTCTTAGAATTCTGAGTGAATGTTTGTCAGAGGTGTGAGATATGAAAATTATTTGTGTGGATATTTAGATAAACAATTCATATTCAATGGATCATTAGGCCCTGTTTTCTGTTAATTACCGTAGGATTCAGCAATACATAAAAAGCTTTAGCAACTGGTCTTTCTTTATAGTTGAAAAATTCTTTCCGAATTATTACGATACTATCAACATTGATTTGATGGTTGTTAAAAATATCACCGATTGCTATTGTTGATTTGATTTGAAGATACTCGAATTCCACAAGACTATTCAGTCATCAAGTGTAGCGTTACAATTTTTACTTTTGACAGAAAAAGTTTTATGAAAAATAAAATCGACTACATTTTGCAGTTAAATCTTGCCTAAAATGCATTCACATTGTATGTCTATAAATATATGGTATGGGGTCCTATGAGCTTGGTTAATAACTGTTGATGTTGCTTGGAAGAATATTGAGAGCTTCGATAATAAAACATCCATCTTTTAAAACACAACATCACCAAAGGAATCCGCTTAAGCTGTAAAGCAGCTACATCACTAATAAAGTACACTCTACTAAAGACAATCATGATTGGAATCAAACCCTGTGACTAACTCATTTCATTTTCAGAATGGGGTTTTTGTGGAGATTTAGTATTTTCATAGTTGAAAGCGTGAGTCAATTGAAGCTAGACCAGTGGAGTTCAAACCAGGTATGTTGTGAGATAGGAACTCACTGAAGACAATTGGTGAACGGTTGCTCAACTTCGTGGATTGGTTGGAGTTCGATATAAACACCGTTGGATGCCTGCTCAGTGATCTATCAGTTAAGTGCTCTGGTGCGGGACTTGTAGGTCCTGGGTTCAAATCTCACGAGGCGGGATCATGGATGCGCATTGCTGAGGAGTCTCATAATAGGACGAATTGGCCGTCCAGTGCTTCCAAGTTTTCCCTGGTGGTCTGGCTTCAATTGACTCACGCTTTCATTTCATTTTCTCTCAATTTTAAAATAATACACACCTATGAATCCCAATCTTAAAATTATTTGCATTCATATTGATGGCATCATTAATTTTCTTGTATTTTAGTTAAAGCCCACTGAATTAGACGAAAATCCTACTAATATACATACTCAGAATAATTATATGTACATAGAATCATCAACAAATGATGAAAATGACATTTCTAAATATCACATCAAACCAAAATGTTCAGCAGAACACAGTTTTAGTCCTATCTCTTTACCTAATGTAAACAATACATCATCATTAAAAGCATCTACACAAGTAGATAATAATAAGAATTCATCGGTAAGTTATTTTACGTTTAATTTTACACTACTGATAAATGATTTATAAGTAACTTACTATTTTATATACTTAATATGAATCACAATATACTTACGAATTGAAGACAAAATTACGAATCTGCTATGGTGAAGTAGGGTCTAGCTCTTATAACTCATTGGTCATTTACCTTATTGTAAGAAAACATCAATAATATATTACTCATTTCATAAAAGTTCAATTAACTGGTCAGCCTTGAAAACATATCACTTGTGAAATTAAATGTCTGAAAGTTACCAAAACTGGTTTTATTTTTCTATTTTCCACTAATCATTGAAGCCCTATATACCATTCAAAATGAACTTATAGTCATCCATAAATTTAGAGTCATATCACCTACTACTGTTATCATATAATCTATAATTAAATTCTCTAGATTGAAGAATAAAAGTGTAATCAAAAAGGGTTTTGTTGAGATTTCAGTATTTTCATAGTTGAAATCATGAGTCAATTGAAGCTAGACCACCATGAAAAACCTGGAAGCACTGGACGGCCATTTCGTCCTATTGTGGGACTCCTCAGCAGTGCGCATTCACGATCCCTCCTCACGAGATTTAAACCCAGGACATACCAGTCCTGCACCAGAGCGCTTAACCACTCAATCATTTGAATTACCGTATTCCTTGTAGCTTTTTGTAATGACTCATTGTAATCTTTAAAATTTAATCCAAATTCATATCATCTAAACAAATTTAGGGTGTAAAGTCTTTTACACTGTTTTAATATTACTAAAAGTATTAAACACCACGTTTTAGCGCATTTTAATCTTTGCATCGAATGAATCTGCTAAAATATAAATCTGTTTAAAAATAATCTAATTGAATAATGTGATAAACGAATTATGAAGAAGGTGAGACAACGAGTATGAAAATGAACTAAATTACAGGATACTTTCTTCTTTATTCTTAATTGATCATTTCGTGATCCCATCAAAGTCTTTATCCTTATTTACTACATTTAACGTTTAATTTTGACTAACTTAGTGTATAGTCTTCATTGTTCATTCAGTCTGATAAAAGAGTATTTAAATTTCACTAATGTTTTTCATTTGGTTTTACTTTAAATAAACCTTATTAATCAATATTTCACATAGATATTTCAATTTGACTTTATGTTATGGTCACAATTACATAACTCGATTGGCACTTGCAATAATGAAGGATGACTTAGATCCACTCTTTGAGGGAAATTTCATCTTCCATGATGTGATTATTTTAGTAAGTGGTTACAGTGGTTACCATGTTAAGCTCACATAACTTATTGTAGCTTCTGGACAGGCCAATTATTTATTCATCTTCAGGTACATTTCGATCTTGTTAATTATTCATTTATCAACCTTAACTGTTTTTTATATGAGCCTATGTAAACTACTTATCCTAATCATCATATATCTGTAACTTATTTTTGATCTATTATGAACATCGATTAAATTTAGTTGGTTCATACGCTTTCTCTACTGCACGTTGTTTCGCTTCGTCTCTCTGATTGTCTGTTAAAATCAAAAAGTGTACAAAACATACACATTCAGAAATTCATTCTCATATTTGGCTTATTTAATTCCGTTACTCACTAACGAAGATTAAGTCGATAATTATATACGAGGATTGGCGACATGTATATTTTAATAACAACCATCATACAGTCTAAATAGAGTAAGATTTAGGGTCACTAAACAATACAACCTGGTTGTAAATAAGAGTAATTTTGAGGTATCTTTATCCAGGTGTTCAGATGCTAACAGACGTCAATAAGATTCCGTCTTGAACACCAAAAAACATGAAATGCAAACAATTATAGTGGATGCAAAATTTCCTAGAGATTGAATATTAACCATGTTATGTTGAATTTCGACTCAGTAGTACTCACTACTTTACGGCTGTGAAACATGGCCATTAAGAGTAGAAGATACTCGTAAGTTACTAGTATTTGACCACAGATGCCTTAGAAATATTGCTCGCATCTTCTGGGATCACCAGGTAAGTAATAGTGAGGTTAAACATAGGGTATTAGGGAATGATGGTAAATCAGTTGAAGTTGTAAATCTTCATCAACTGAGATGCTTAGGCCACGTGTTACGTATGCCTGAACGCCTATTACCACGACGCGCTACGCCGACTAGTATTGGCGATGTTTGTAGTACTTCTCGGATTTAGGTAATTCCTGTTGATCAGTAACAAATGATACGAGACTTAAATTTAGGATTTTTTCATATAAGTTCGTTTCAACCATTTAGTAGCAAACTGTATTAATTTTCAATTTTTAAAACAAGAATACATTTGCCTACTCTCCAATTGTTTTGATTATTTCATGTTGCATTCTATGTAGTATTATTTTACATATTAGATTCAAACTTATACAACTTTAATCTGAGTGTAATAATTGTTCACCGCTTTACATCTTTGATGATGATTGTGTGAGATGTACCAATGAAGAACTAATCTGGAAACCATCAATAACCTTTACGTAGCTGATTAATTTGAAAAAAAACTCATGAACAGAATAAATAAAAGGTGAGTGATTGCAATCACCCCACTGACACGAAGTAGATCACAGTTAAAATAAAACCGAAATCTACTGAAAAACTCTAATAAATCTCTCACATAAAAAGTTAAAACTTTCTAATATCCGATATTCGATTAATATACAGAAATAAATGTGAAAAGAAACCCAGAAGATTAGAAGAGAACTGACGTCATCATCATTAGCAAAACATGATTGCAAATAAAAATGATCCTGTATTGGTGAGTTACTAAAATCACGAAAAACAAAGGCATTTTGTTAATATGTATTCTCACAATAACCCGTTTGAGGAGGCTGACTAACTGGATATTTGTATTAATCTTAGGGACTTTTTTATTTTAAATACATAAGTCAATCTGAATGGTACAAATATAAATGTTTAACATTATTTCTATGCTTATTTTAATAAAGGAAACTAAACGAAATTTGTTATTGGAACATTTAATGGTTCAGAGACAGAGACTGGCCACTGCGGACGCATCAGTTGCATTACTGGCGAAGAGATTAATGCTGGTAAATTTCTTTACAGTTTTTAAAATGTCTCTGGTATTATTTACAAATGCTGTTTTAGACGTAAAATAAGTCTTTTTAATTAAATAGCCTGATTAAGTCCTTTCTTTCTGATGGTCATGATTTTATCACTCCTTCTACATGTTGTCTGAAATAAAAAGTCAAGATGAGCAGTTTAATAGTTGGTGTGTAATATAGCGATTACATTTAAAATCGATCGTTAACCAAGTTTTGTTTGGCTAAAGGAATTAACTTTTAACATATCTTAATTATTAGAAGGGGTTTTTGTGGAGATTTGGTATGTTTCATAGATGAAAGCATGAGTCAATTGAAGCTAGACCACCGAGGAAAACCTGGAAACACTGGACGGCCGTTTCGTCCTATTATGGGACTCCTCATATATATTGAGTAGTCCCATAATAGGACGAAACGGCCGTCCAGTGTTTCCAGGTTTTCCTCGGTGGTCTAGCTTCAATTGACTCATGCTTTCATCTATGAAACATATCTTAATTAGTTACATGAACCCTATAACCAGCGCTTGGTTGTAAAGTATGCAACAAGCATATTTGAAATTGTTGAAGTAGAAGTATCCGAATTGTAGGTTAAACAAAATCTTTTGCAATTCAGTTATTAGACATTATGAGTATACTCTGAGAGCGTAACACAGTATTGCCTAAAGAAATAGCATGCCACTAACAACAAATTCAGCAGTTTAATACAAATTTCTTATCAATATCGAGTTGTGATTGTTGAGTTATAATTGAGATCATGAAACCATCAATGTTAGAAAACGATTGAAAACATGGAAACACTGGACGGACGTTTCGTCCTATTATGGGACTACTCAACAGCGCGCATCCACGACCTCGCACGTTAGATTCCAACCCAGGACCTTCGATTTCACACGTAGGTATTCAACCCCTAGGCCGCTGATCCGGCATCCGACGGTGTTACTGTCTAACTTCAACCAATCCACGATATTGCGCGACCATCTTCCTTTGTCATCGGTGGGCAACTGGCTCACACCCGATACGGTTGAACCCCATTGGTCATGTCTCACCGCTGAAACTTCGAGTATTCCTTCTCGAAGTCAGTCACTAGTGAGCACATGATAATTTTCTCTTAATTATGTTTAGATTATCTTTGTAATTCATTTAGCTAAATACAAGTCCTAAAGTTCAACAGGACAGCACAAAAGAGAAAGCAATATATAAGCGAAAAGTCTCATACCCCGGGAACTCTTTAGAGAAGAATATATCAACATTTGACCAACTGGTAGACAATCAACAAGCTCTAACCTACTCAATTACTCCAAATGTTCTTCGAAACTCTAAAATGATCAGTGGCACTGTCAATTCAGCAATTCATAGTGAATATTCCACTGATAGTATATTTCAGTCTCAATTACCCCATAGTTCTGAAGATGATATCCTAACTCATGGACATTCACCAAAACCCAAGTTTACAGGTAAGACACATATTACAAAAACGTTTTTTAACAGAATGTTACATTTATTGATTATGAATCTATGAAGTTTTAGTAGCCAGGATTTTTATGGTTGTTTAAAATATCTTTAAACTGACTAAATATTTAAAAGTTATTTGCAAAAATGGCATGTCAATTATTACATAACTCTGATTTCATGCAATAGTTATTACTATTGAATGATGATGTATCATTGAAGAGGATTATGATAACCAGTTGTCTTTTTTCAAGGTTTCAATGAATGAAATTGAATGAAATTATCAACACTTTGGTTGAATACTCAATGAAAGAGACACTATAGTGAGTTATATGAGAGACATACTGATTAGATTGAGATTGATTTGCTTTTTCATGAACTAACACCAGATGAGTCTTTTTTCTTATTTGGAATCTAGCTAACGATAAATTAATTGCTTAAGTGATGACACTATGAATGTAGTGTGGTGTGGTATACTTATATCCATATAAGTAGTATATGGTGTGGGTCAGACATAGAATGTATTTTGGCAGAAGACCGATGAGGAAAGAACTGAAATGAAGCGCAATCGTTCGGAAAATGCATGAGCAATGGAATAAGAGAAGAAACAGTGAAGATTGAAACAAATTGGTTGTTAATTTGCAAATTGACTGTTCATTGTTTGGTAATCAGAATTTACTGAGATAGTTTGTAACGTTTGCTTAAATACATTCGATTGTCCCCAACGAGTCGTGTTCTGTTCATTACAGTAGTAACTAGAGAGGAGAATTGAACTAGGATAGTATAGGCTTTTTGTGTTTTCTTAATTTGAATAGTGTTAAGACTGATTTCGTCAGAGACTGATTGAAAACCAAGGACCATTGCACTATTCAGTTATAAGCATGCATAAATACACACAGGATAAAATGCAAAACCTCCAAGCCTGTCTAAGTACTACAGAACTGTGACTGATTTGAAGTCCAATAATTTGTATTTCTAGTTTCAATCAATACAAATTTCCTACATTGTCAATGGTGATATCAGCCTCAATCTCGAAATGATTGGATTTACCTAACCACAACTTTCCACCGGAACTTACGAAACGTCTTCAAGAAATTATTGACTTTTGATCACATAACTACGATTTTAAGGTAGAGAGATGTGTACAGACTGTTTTATTTGAAGTTAGTTTCATCAGAGATAAACAATAGATTAGTTCCTTTACCTGATTTCATTGATGTCAAAAGTATCGTTTGAAAACAATGTATTGTATCAGTTTCCTTCAAACAAATTAATTAAATAAGATATTTCCTTTCACTCTTCATACATTATACTGATATACATGATTTAAAATTTTGTTTGATTAATTTTTATTTATTGAAGGTTGGCAAAAATCTAGTACAATCGAACGAATAAATAGTTCAAGTGCTCAATACCTCCTAGATTCTCCTCGACTTAACAATAACAATAATACTGCTAAATCAACTAATATTACAAATAAATTTAAAGACATTTCAACAAATGATAATATTGGCAAAAATGAATTAAATAATTTACATCAAGATGGGGATTCATCAGCTCCTAGTGTTGAACGAAGAAGATTACCAACACCTATCCGCGGAGATTTATCAGCATGGAATGTGAAAAAGTATTTGCATAAAGTTCCTCGTAAGTGATATATATATATATGAGCAGAAAAAAATTATGACACAACGACGATGTACAGAAAACATATGGTAGCAATCTAGTTTTCAAAATACTACTTAAACGACTACACGAAAATTATGTATTAACACATATTCTGATCTACTATGATTACGTAACAAAGTGTGATTACATTAAACGTCTAAATTTGAGTCAGATTTTTGTACGTTAAGAATTCATCACTAAAAATGAAATGAAACGTAAATAAATGGTCTACTAATTTTCCAACGTTTATAATTAGTTTCCTTATAAATAAACAAAAACCCAGTCATTTTCGGTATAGAAACTTAACTATACGTGTACAGATGAATTTCTCTATGAATCATCTGTACTTTTATAAGTAATATCATAAACAGTTTCACTTGATATCCATTACCAGTGAATGGGACTCTTCAACAGTGCGCATCCACGAACCTGCTCTCGCGAGCGAGATTCGAACCCAGGACCTACCAGTCTCGAGCCGAAGCCTTTAACCGATAGACCACTGAGCTTAAAATTATCGATGAAACAGAGTTCTGGACTTTTGATCTAAAGATCATTTGCATAAATATTTTCAACTTTTTAATTATCCAAAATGAAAAATGGATGCCTATCATCAAGCAAATCAATAAATGAAATTAGTTTAACTTAAAGTTTATTTTGAAAAGAATAAAAAGGTGAAACTATTTCTTATTGACTAGTATTGATAACACAATTTGGATTATAACGAATATTTTACATGCATTTCTGATATTGCTTGTCATTTATGATTGTATAATAGCTTATTTTACATCAATATAAAGTGTTTAAAACACTTTCCAAAGTATATATAACTTATACAGCTACTCATTGAGAGATCAATAGTTAAAAATATATCTTAAATTTTCACATTAAATTGTGAGGGCAGTACCTTAAAACTAGTTGGTTCATTAGTGTAACTAGTGATAAATACATCTGTGCATGCATTTATATATCCCACTTTGAATGGAACTTTCTTTCTGAAGATTAAGTTAGCTACGAATCACACTCTAAAATTTCTTTTCAAACAATTACATCGTTGAGCACACTTCGAGATCAACAAGCTGGATTTCGTAAGGATAGATCGTGCACAGATCAAATCGCAACTCTACGTATCATTGTGGAACAATCAATCGAATGGAATTCATCACTGTACATCAACTTCATCGACTACGAGAAGGCATTTGATAGCGTGGACAGGACGACACTGTGGAAGCTTCTTCGACACTACGGTGTGCCTGAGAAGATAGTAAATATCATACGGAACTCCTATGATGGACTAAACTGCCAAATCGTCCACGGAGGACAACTCACCGACTCGTTCGAGGTAAAGACCGGTGTTAGGCAAGGTTGCCTACTCTCACCCTTTCTCTTTCTCCTGGTGATCGACTGGATTATGAAGACGTCAACATCTGGAGGAATGCACGGGATACAGTGGACAGGCAGGATGCAGCTTGACGATTTAGACTTCGCGGATGATCTGGCTCTTCTATCACAAACGCAACAACAAATGCAGGAGAAAACGACCAGTGTAGCAGCAGCCTCAGCAACAGTAGGTCTCAATATAAACAAAGGGAAAAGCAAGACTCTCCGATACAATACAATATGCACCAATCCAATTACACTTGACGGAGAAGCTTTAGAGGATGTGGAAATCTTTACATATCTGGGCAGCATCATTGATGAACACGGTGGATCAGATGCAGATGTGAGGGCGAGGATCGGCAAAGCAAGAGCAGCATACCTACAGCTGAAAAACATCTGGAGCTCAAAACAATTGTCAACCAACACCAAGGTTAGAATTTTCAATACAAATGTCAAGACAGTTCTTCTGTATGGGGCAGAGACGTGGAGAACTACGAAAGCCATTATCCAGAAGATACAAGTGTTTATTAACAGCTGTCTACGCAAGATACTTCGGATCCGATGGCCAGACACTATCAGCAACAAGTTACTGTGGGAGAGAACAAACCAGATTCCAGCGGAGGAAGAAATCAGGAAGAAGCGCTGGAAGTGGATTGGGCACACTTTGAGGAAATCACCCAATTGCGTCACAAGACAAGCCCTCACATGGAATCCTGAAGGTCGAAGGAGAAGAGGAAGACCAAAGAACACATTACGCCGAGAAATAGAGACAGACATGAGAAGAATGAACAAGAACTGGAAAGAACTAGAAAAGAAGGCCCAGGACAGAGTGGGTTGGAGAAAGCTGGTCGGCGGCCTATGCTCCATTGGGAGTAACAGGCGAAAGTAAGTAAGTAAGTAACATCGTTGAGCACAGGGATATGCTAAATAATGTAATTGCTATCTAAGAATTAGTAAAATAGAAACACGTACAAAGTTATACATACTCTTTGAATTTGTCTGTTTATATTTAAATGTTCAGCTTTAAAATCAAATTATTTCTAGTGTTGATAATTCCCACTGTTTGGCTAACAGGATCATGACTTTATTCATTGTTTATTTGTGCACTCTTCATTGACTCAACAAGCCATTGGTTTAGTGAAACTGTGTTGATATACAGTGATATTGTGGTCGTATTCATTTACTTGGATAATGCAGTGAAGAGACGAAGGTTATCAAAACTATGTGATTTATTTGCACAATACATTTTGAACAATCTGATCACATATATACTTGTTAAGGGATATGTAGAAAAATCAAAGGTCAATTAGACAAGTGAAATGTAAGAGAAAACAAAGGCAATAATCAAGAAAATAATGTTAAAAAGAATGTGAAAATCAAACTGGATAACGGGTCAGTATAACCAGGATAGGTTAAGGGTAAGAAAAAGTTGATTTTAAGCATATAAAGGAAGTTCCAGTCTTCGTATACCCAAAGCTTCAATAAACTTGGGCACAAACTCTTCATCAGTTCTACTCAGCACTACAAAGGCTGACTTGATATCAACCCTATGATCCGTCTCAGCCAAATTTTTTCACAATGAAGGAAGATATTTATTTGCCTTATGATTTTATTTGACGATTGGGCTTCATTTGTTCAGGTATCTAATTAAGTATGAGTTCAGCCATTCTTAGTCACATATCACCATTGCTCCTACTTATGTCCAGGTTTTAACAAATACGTGTAAACTGATAGACGCAATAGGATGAGACACAATCATTTACATGATGTTTATGGTTTTTGTTGAAACATAGATCTTGACTTTTTGATAATAATGAGTTGAGCTGTGTAATATGTCTTACTGATAGTTCATTTAAGTCTTCGTTTCAACATAAAAATATTTGAGCCACATCTTCAATATAGACACATTATTTGAATTTCAAAAGCGTAGAAGGTCTCATCATATTGCTGCCTTTCCATCGGTTGATAAACTTCAATGAATAACCATTATTCACCAATGTTTCAGTTAAGATTTATTTGTCCCCTTAATAGTGTCGCTAGTGCGAATATGATTAATATTATCGGATAACGCCCTTATCAACCTACTTTTTAGCTGGACTGAACAGTGACTATGAAAATTAAGATATTGCCCTATGTTGACTTTCTATATGTAGGTATATACGTTGTCTGTGGAGAAACCTATACAGCTGCTTTCTCTGACCTCATTGGTTTGACAGCAAGGTACAGTATTACTGTTGCTTCTTGTACACTTCAGCTAGCGACTAAATGCAACACACTCTCTACGAGACGTGTACATTTATTGGGTGAAGCTCTGATAGATTAAAGGGTAGAGAATCCTGAAGAGTCCCATACTTAAACAAAATAGATGTTCAGTGCATTCTGGTTGTCTAACCGAATTCGCATATCCGAATAACTTATCAATGAATTTTTAGAAATGCTAAGATAATGTCTCATGGTTTTCAGATAAAGTAAACACCTTGATCTGGTCAGCTCATTGAACAGACGAGAATAAGTTAAGTATTTATGAATGATGTAAATCAAATTTAGTGCACGATATGACCCTCTATTGATAGACAAAAATAACTTTTAATCATATTCACTTCTAAGAATTAAAACATTAAAGATCTGATAAGAGCAGTTTGTTCAACAAACTGACTAATTAATGAGAAGAGAACATATCAAACAGAGCAATATACCCATTAAGAAAATTCTACTTGATATGAATTTTTCAGTAAATTAATGACACAGTTACTTTTGAGCACAGATTATTTCAGTAACCAGTCGGTTAGTCATAAACAAATTAGGACTTGGAACACATATGCTTTGTCCCAAGTTGTCATGCCACATCAACACAGCAAGATGAAATCAACTAGATGTACCTCGAGTCAAAATAATACTGAGACCTTTAATAAAATTAGATTGTAATATCAGTATTTTCAACTTTAGCGAATGTCGAATGCCAAATATTCACAAATTTCATTAATGCTTACCAATGAAGCAAATATAAAATAAAACACAAAAAATCAAAGGGTTTATACGTAAAGTATCTAAGAGTATAATTAGTATTTATTTCCTTGGAAAAACATTAATTGTACAATATTACTTTTCTGGAAAAAATCACATTTTAGAGTTTACAAAACTCGCTTCAGAGAATGGTTATATCGAATTAGCTAACACTAGTTCTTCCCCAACTAATGATGAAGATTATACAAGTCGATTGTTGTATGGAACATCAAAAACTCAACTACCTAGCCGACGATTTTTTAATACTAATTCATTGAATAATTCTATGACGGGATTTTTAACTCCTATTAACTGTTCATTTTTATCAACAACAACACAACAATCATCACCCGCAACAATGACAACACAACCATTATTATATAATGAGAAACGTTTGATCGAAAAGTCACTATTGCGTCACAGACCAACACCACCAACACAACAACATCAACTAAAACCAGTACCCCCACTTCCACCAAAACCAAATCAAATCAGTCTGCAAACATCTATTGGGGCAACACAAGAACATCTCAGTGCTGAAGATGAAGAGGTGTACAAATTTATGTCACGTTCGTTTGATGCTAATGAAGAGATGAATTTAGATTTTCAAGTAAGTCCCCGTCTAATATGAATTAATCATTCTGTATTCTGTAAAATATCTTGAAAAAGAGGGGACTAAACATGGTTACTATTATTAACTGTTTTAGTTTATCCACGTATTTTTCAAATATTCACATCAATGTTATTGATGAATCTTGATAAAAATGAGACATGTATTACTTAACTTAAAATTGCCTTTTGTTCAAGCATTATAATTCAAAAATAACAGATTTCGAAAACATAGTTTGTTTTCTAAATTTAGATTTTGGAAAACATTAGCGAGATATCATAACCAAAAGAGTCAGACTGATAATAAAACTGAAATAAAAATCTGTTAATTTCTCAAGATTGTGTAAGTAGATGAACAAAAAGCTTGATGATTCCAAAGTTACTCACGTGTTAGTATTTACTAGAAGAATTCGTCGATCATGTTTCTAGTGAATTAAAGCATACACTTCATCTAGGTAAATATAATCAGACAGGTTATTCTTCATCCAACAACTAGTCTCATGCTTTTTCAGAAAAATAATTGGAACAGATACTGTTTAAACTGATTAACTGAACAATGATAAATAAACATGAATACAACATATTTTCCATTCACTTGAAATAACTCATGAATAACCAAATTATAGCAAGTGAACACACCTCTAAACAACCTTTATGTTTTTCTAACTATGGAGAAAATTAATGTGTTCAGTTTTCTATAGTATAAAATCTCAAGTACAGTGTTAGATTTTTATTTAATCCAACTGATATTTTTAATCACTTAGTGTTTTAGAGTGTTCTAATACTCACAACTATGATTCGGATCCTAAATTTGTTCTACCTACCATGATTCATGTAACCGGATAATATTATTATCTCATATACTGAAATTATATCTCAATGTCAGATATATCAACCTATACTTGGTTATAACGTTACACTGGCTAATCAATAAAACATTTCCACTGAAATAGTTAATTCGCTACATCTAAAGGTTCAGTTAATTATTGTTCGTTAACGACAAAGCTAATTCAAAATTTAGCATATTTTCAAACAAACAATACGTGAATTATTTGATTCGTTTAGAAATCTTTTTAACATCCATCTACTACAGTTTAGATGTTTCTGCTCTGCTATATAAATTCCTAGTCATGCAGGTTTCAAATCAAGGTCTATAGGTCTTCTAAGAGAAATATCACAAGTTGGTCGACTTCTAGTGACATGTAATTGTCTTTTCATTAGTGAACTTATGATGTTATTATCTTTAAGTGGACAGACATTTTCTCTCCGTATATGATATCACTGCATTATGAAAACAAACTCCAAATCAAGTAATACTTATGTACAAACAATTTCACTGATAGTAACCAGCGAAATTTTATCTGAAACTATATTTCCTGAAAATCGAAAGAAAACCCGCGATCTGTTTAGTCAAGAAAATCGGAACTGATCACCAATACTAATCGACAAAATTCTATCACGAATTAGCCTATACCGAATAATGTATACTGTTAGATTGATTTCATTTCCGGTAGAAAGGTTGGTGTGCTTGACTTTGTGCACGACATGCATTGATGATAGGATTTTTTGAGAATTTTTTATTGAATAACACCTCGTTATTGTGAGTTATCTCTCTTCCGTTTGACAGTCTGTTCTGTTTGCTTCAATTTTGACTTATCAATAGCCATGAATTATAAAACAGACGCAATAATTAGAAAAAATATTTATTTTTGGTTTTATACACCTTGTAAATAGCCTTTAAATCGAAATTTGACCGATTCCAAACAAAGACCTCTACCACCGCCATATTATGTCAATATAAATGACACAAATAATGAAAAATTATTAAATCAAAGAAAGATATTTCCACATAAAATATCAAGAACAATGAATAATAAAACTAGTCAATTATTAAAACAAACTATAACACAGAATCATGACTCGCATATACTCACTGGAGGATCATTAACATCATTAAATGATACAACTAAAGAAGGAGAAAAAGAAAGAGAAGAAGAAGAAGAAGAAGAAAGTACCAATCGATTATTGAATCCATCAACAAAAATTAAAAAATCATTAAATTCAATTGAGAAAATAAAAAATCAAATGGAAGTAAACCAAGTAAGATATTTGTTTGTTTTTATTTCAAAAACGTATATACTGTTATTAATTCTGTGAACTAACTATAGGAAATTAGTTGGGCAGAATCCAATCCAGTGACTTTTAATTGACCTGAACATAAAAGAATTGAGAAGTGATTGAAGTTGACGACGTGTAAATGTTTCAGCACTTAAATGTACACCAATACTATTTGGTCGAATTTAAATTTCGTTTATTAAAATAGTCGAAATGTGTAATGGATTACTTCCAGTGTGCATAAATTCTTATTTTGTGTTTAATAAATAAGCTTACTGATAAATAAGTAGAGTAGTTGCACATCCACTGATGAGTTTTCTGAAAACAGGTTGATTCATGAAGTTAGAGAATGGGAATGCCTATCATTTAATTACAAAAAACTCAGTTTCTATTGACGGTATGTAGATGTCAGTCAAACGATATGCTAATGAAACAGGTGGTAACATGCTACATATATTTAATGTGTAAAAATAACTGATGCTTTCATACTTTCTATAAGCGTACGATCTATTAGAGACGCATAATTCTATAAAACGCTCAGTTTATCAGAAGTTGAAGTGAATCAAATGCTGTAGTACGAAGTGTCGAGGAGCTGATATTGAAAAGCGTCAACCGAATCCAGAAACAGATAAACACCCATTTATCTATACATCTATATATTTTTTATTTTTAAACTTGATAATTGATATGTGATAAGAGTTTGCTGTGTTTACAAAATCCTTCTTTGTGACCTATGGCTCCATATTTCGCGCATTTGTGATTGTTAAATGGAGAGATACAATAGAAACTCCTTACTCAGCAGTTCTAGAAACTAATGAGAGGCTTTAGAAAACGACGTATATTAGAATTTTGAACATTAGACATACGATTTGAGCAGAGAAGTCTTTGCTAATCATGATTTGAAACATTAAGATTAATGATACGATCCTAAAACGAAAACTGGCGAGAACCAAATGAAGAATGATCTGTTGTGACAGTAGACGTATGATTAGTATTGGGACATTCCTTAATACTATTCGAGCAAGACATTTTCAGCGAGTCAAATGAACTATCATTTATAGAGCTAAAAATATGACTTGAGAGATCAATAGTTGGACATTCAATCATCTTAGTGTCGATTTTTAGTATAATAATACATCTATACTCGTTATTAAAATCTGTCAGTGTTAGATTGGGATTTTGTTTTATTCTGATTAACATTCTAGTACACATCGCATAATGACCAACGTAGGGTATGAGACAAACTCATCTGGTTTATTAGCAGTCTTAAAACAAGTATATCGCAAAATAAATAACGTTTGAATAGTAAAACCGTCGGTTGTTTTTCGTAAAATAACATAGAAAACAAACAAAATACAAACTTTAATAGCTTCATATCCTCTATATTAGAGGCATAATTTAATCAAGACTATAATACATTTAACTAGCCGAATGTACTAAAAACATTTTCCATGTAGATCCATTTAAGACAGAATGAACTTTAAAGTCGAATGGTTGGATTAATACTCCTAGAGAAAATTCGATAAAAACCAATGGTATGAGATAGCAATTGTTACGACGAGAGCAAATTGTTTCATCTTTCTGAATCAATGTATATGTATAAAATCAACTACTCGATTAAATAAAAAGCTTTACAGGAGCTATGGAGACAAGTCTAGTGACAGTGTGAACGTTTGTCAAAATTACAAACAATAAACCGACGAGACTAAAGAACATGGACGACCTTTGAACGAATCTTGAATGACCTTGAGAAATATTAGCCAATCAGAAGACAGTTAGTGTACAGTAAAAATTTATTATACAAAACCAAAGAATTAAAGTGAATACTGTTCTTTTACATGAGATAAAACTTATCAAGGTTGGATATAGGTTCTGAAGTTCTAAAATCATATTGCATGCGGTACATGAATTCATACATATGGCTCCATAGTAGTCTGCCTCTGGAGCCATGATAGGGTCCCAAAAACTATTTTATTCTTGACCATATAGCTTCTATATTGTTAGTGTGCACCCCAGTAGTAGGGTCAACAAAATGGCGCTTATGTATAACGACTTCATGCACATATCCCAGTCTACCTAGACACCTGTACGCTCTCCAATCATCTGTATAAACAGTAGTGCCCGGCAGCACATATTGCTGTATAGTCGGTATGATTGTTGGTGCCTGCCGGTTCCTGACTCTTTAGAAATGTCCCTTTTGTAATGATCTATCATATATTCCAAGGACCTGTGTGTTATATTTATGGAAGAGGTACTTACCCAATCTTCTTTAATACAACGGCCACGGTTGAATTCGCGTTTTCTTACAACCGTTTCGTCTATTTCAACAATGTTCCCCACTCCTCCATACAATTGCTGTACGCTTGTCAGTTTTGTTGCACAAATATCTCGGCAAAACTTGTACCACTGAACTGCCGAAACTTCGCTTACATCGGTAAAGGTGGCAGCTAGTGTTACCGGTGCTTTTATTATCCAATTCGCAACAAGGAGCATAATTTGTCTCAACCTTAATTTTGACCGAGCGAAAAAAGTCCATGTTCGAGCTGATTTCTTCTTCCAACATGAAGGACATCGAAAGATAATATCATCACAATAGTCTGCACACCGTACAATGGTCATTTGACTACCGCAGTCACAAGTATAGGAGCTTCTTAATAATCTCTTTTCTTTTAGTTGCTCAATTATTACATCTTCTCGAAAATCCGCTGTATGTAAGCATCATGTTCCGAAATTACCTCCGTGACCTTGAAAACCCGCGAAAGCTTGTGATTGGCTCGTCCATGCTCTTTAGTCTCGCCAATAAACCTTTTAAATTCATTTAGTATTCTTTATTTGAATCTTCCCATCGATGTGTTAGGACTGCAACTGGTCAGTCTCTAATTGGCATATGTGCATACTGTGCGTATTGCCTCGATATTACCTTAATTCACAAGCATCAAACTTCACTCCAATGCACAAGCAAGTGGCTGTCAGGACTCAGTGGCCGAGTGGATAACGCGATGGCATTTGGAGCGAAAGGTACTTACTTCGAGTCCCAGAGTGAACATCAACTCTGAGATGCAGGTACATCCAGCTGACGAGTCCCAAATAGAACGAAACGCGTCCTAGATTCCACTGCTAATCACTATCCATCTTTGCTTACCAATAAACCTTTTAACCTGAATGATATCGAAATGTTGATATTGTGGTATATCGTATATATTAAGTGATATAACCTAATAGAATTATACATAAATCTTTTAAATCTCTTGTTGGAATACATCGAATGAATCTGGCATTACTTACAAGAATAACATATTTACAGCTTTCAGATCCACTCTGGACTAGTTTCCTTATTTTCTTTAACATTCCACATTTACAATATATAATTGCCTTTCATTTAATTTTTTTTTCTTTGGTATGTCAATACTTCACAATTGGTTTCATGTTAACACAATCACCAGCCTTTAATTACTTACATATTTTAAATAAAATTTAACTCATACGTAAAGGTTATTGAGAATTTGATCAAAAGAAAAATCAAACTAACCCACTAAAATAAACTAAGTTTGCTTTTTAAATGAATCTTCTCTTAGTGAACTGGTTAAATTAGTACTCTGTAAAAACATTTTACCGAAATATGTATTTATGAGTGCATTAATGGTCAAAATAACTGATTAACATGCAAAAATTACAAATCGAATAACAATACCACTGTATTGAGAGAGGTGAAGCGAACTGAAAATATTTGTTTGACAATCTATCATATATTATGATGTGATCGATTCATGTCATCTCTGTTATGACTGGAAATGAAGTTTGGTACGATGAGAAGAATTCAGAAAGATTATTATTTACATACTTACATACTTACGCCTGTTACCCCTCGTGGAGGAGCATAGGCCGCACACCAGCATTCTCCATCTAACCCTGTACTGCGCAATCCTTTCCAGTTAACATCCATCCTTCTCATATCTGCTTCTATTGACCGACGTAATGTGTTCTTTGGCCTTCCTCTTTTCCGCTTCCCTTCCGGATTCCAAGTTAAGGATTGAGTAGTGATGCACATTGGTGATTTCCTTAATGTATGTCCGATCCACTTCCAATGCATTTTCTTAATTTCCTCATCAGCTGGAAGCTGGTTTGTCCTCTCCCATAGAAGGCTGTTGCTGATAGTATCCGGCCAGTGAATGTTGAGTATTTTGCGTAAACAACTATTTATAAATACTTGTACCTTCTTGATGATGGTCGTAGTAGTTCTCCACGTTTCAGCTCCATACAGTAGGAATGTCTTGACGTTCATATTGAAGATTCTCACTTTGAAGTTAGTTGACAGTTGTTTTGAGTTCCATATGTTCTTCAATTGTAGAAATTCTGCCCTTGCTTCGTCAATTTCCGCCTTTACATCTGCATCCGATCCTCCTTGTTTATCGATGATGCTTCCCAGAACTATCGGTAATTATCTAATGACCATTCAATGATATTTTGTTTATAAAGACGAGTTATTTCGTAAATGTTTAAAACGGATTACATATAAATGCAAACACTGAAGATATTCAAAACAGAACTGAAATGTGTTTTTTTTTAAATTTTATTCTAAAAACTAGGCTCATAAAATTAAACGATATATCAAACAAAAGTCAGACTACTCATTTAATCTAAGAGATTACTTACAAATTCTTCATCATCCAATTAATGAGTTAGCTATAGAAACATCCGATACAACTGTATCGCCTGAACAACACGGGGGAATATGCCTTACAAGTTTACTTGGTAATTGGCTTACATCAAGAACTACTCGAGCACAAAAAACATCTACAGTTAACGAATCATTGGATTATTTCCAATGCAAGATTATTCTAAGCAGTAGAATATGCGGTGGTTATCTATGGATTATGAAAAAGCCAAGTCGTCAACGAAATAATAGTAATATATGGGATTCAATAATGCGTCGAGTACATGATACATCGTTTAATCAAATAACCAATACAGATAATGAAAAGCATAACAAACGAATCATAATACGTAGTTCAAACAATGCAAAATGGTGTCGTAAATGGTTGTCATGCGATATGTTAGAACAAAAGATATTCATATGCGAAAGAAAAGGATGTGGACGAATTGAATGTAAGATTTTAACATTCATTATTCAATTTAGAAATAATTTGGCTTTATATTTATCTTACTTGTTAGTAGTGGGGTTTTAGTTTCTAAATAACTTCAGTATAACAGTTAATTGATTCAAACTTGTATTCTCAAGAAAAAACAACATCAAACAAATGAGCTTCCAATGGTTAATGTAAATATTTCACATGAAAAAGTAACGAGATAAATCAAAGTTTTTATATATGGTGTAATCATTTAAAGTAATATGTTAAAATGATATGCTAACTACGATCACTCGAAAGATAAGCACAAAATGAAAGGCTCTATGATAGGAGGCGTTTGAAGCACAAATCAACATTTTAGATCATTGATTAGTGAGATGGGAATTCTTTTATTCTCGAATTCGATATGTATAGCTATGTAATGAGAACGACTTCACTGAACAATTTATTCTGTTAGAGGGCCAATCAGCACAAACCATTCGATCACTTTTCATCGCAACTACAGATTGCTTAAAAATGTAAATAGTGATATTTATCCTAAATACAGATTTTTCGCAGTCATATTCTAAGCTTCGCATTCTGATATTTAATGGATCAATGAGATTGAAGTTCTAGAGGTTGCAGCCATATTTGTTGTTGGTTCGTGTATTATCAGGAGAAGTTTGTTTCGATCATCCTATTTAAAATTTGCTCAGTCAAATAAACTAGCGACAATTCCAATATTATTATTAATTGACAAGATCAGTCGTAATATCAATACTGTGATGGCATTATATTCATTTTTAATAAGAGAGATGAGTTCCCAATGTAATAGGTTTAGTTATGAATTTTTTTACTTCACGTTCAAGAATACTCAACTTTCACTAAGTTGATTCTTTCTATAGGTTTGATAACAAAAAATTATATGTATACGTTTTCATTTCATCACAGTCTGCTAATAACATACAAATACTGCATTACTTTCAATCTGATATAAAGCAATAAGCTCCAAGTTCAGAATCCTCCTCCCATCTAGTCGGTATCACTACTTCTTAAACAACAAAAGTTATGATTTCAATTAGTTATTTGTATTCCCAAGATTTTATTCGATGACTTATACTATACTATTTCATTTATTAGGGTACGGAGATCTTTCAAGAATTGACGATAGTTGTCATCAGAAACAAATATAACCCAAACAGAGACAATAGAGCACTGGACTGTTGAATCACTTGTTTTCTCGACCGTTGCTGTTACCTTGACGTGGTGGTCGGGCTTGTCTATCGTGATGAACCAATCGAGCTATGCTGGCTGGAACAATCGTTCCTCAAGGTCCTACCATGCCAGATAGGTCGGTTGAAGAGCGGTAAGACTAAAAGCAGAGAACCCAAGGTCCGAAGACGAAGTCGTAGTGCCGAATGTACAGAGGTGTGAAGGCAGTAAGGTGTTTCCTTCAGACAACCAGCATAACAGCGATGCTGCCTTCCTACAAGGAGGGGTGGGGTTAGAAAAGGTCGACCCTAAAAATACATACCTCGTCTTATCCCACGGATTTCGGTCTCCGGCGGTAAGGTCCTTTGAAGAACGGAGCTAAAACAACAAAATCCCCCACAAAAAAGCCGTGCGTGACCAATCTCAAGCAGTTGTCCCTCGAGCACTGCGGTCACACTCCCAGGTCGTTAAGACCAACACTGATCCAACTTCCTTTTCAGGTACCTCTAGAAGAACCCTTCCACGGTGTGGCAGCCGGGAATTGATATTAACCCTCATACCCATAACTGCACACGTAACTGCATCACTTCTTTTGGACTAGTGGGTGTGCACTTCTAAAGAATCTGAAACTAGAGTGAAAACAACTGTCCACTGATCCATAGATCTCTATTGGTTCTTGATGTCAATTACTCTAATATCATTTCTTAATGTTTTAAAACATTATTTTATGTATTTAACAATTTTGTCACATATTTCCTCATTAATTTAGGTACGATAAACTTTTCGACAATTAAAGATATACATCAAAGTAGTACAGATCAATTATTAGATTGTCAAAAGTCTTGTTCATTATCGCCTAGAATATCTCAGAAAACTTCTTCAACATTATTAAACACAAATACTAGTAACAATAATACTGATAATAATAATCATCATCACGAGGTTAAAAGTTCTACTCAACAAGATAAAAGTATAACTATTTCGGATACTAATGAAGAACAAATAAAGAAAACAACCATAAACAATACAATGACAAAACAAACAAACTGTACAGAGAAAACAGAAACATTATTTTGTCTAGAGACTATACTACATACATATTTTTTAATGGCTCCATCCTCTGAATTGACCAGATTATGGATTGATGTTTTAAAACAAGGTAAGTTCACATGTGTGTGTGTGTGTGTGTGGAAAATACCTAACAAATTTGTAATTGATAAGTTAACTTTAAATAAGCTTTTTTTTATTAGAAGTATGATTGAACTTGTTACCTGGAATATATCAGTACTTAAATTAATAACAGTATAAAACAGTAACAAGATTGTAAGGGATACTGTTATGTCTTTAGCTTATACGATTATCGCGTTGACTTATACGAACAAGCTAATGATGCATACACCAGTACGAGCAGCCTAAAGTTTCGATTGATCCTTTATCCGCCTAGCTATGTCTGTTAAGTCTAGAACAATAATCTCAGCCTCCGCAATATGAATCATATATTTCAAACATACTTGGTTTATATACAAGTAAAATCAGACCACATCAGACCAGAAATAGAAAACAACATTTATACAAGATAAAGTCAAAAGTGACCGTGATTGTGAGAAACTGTTATTAATAAATTGGAAAAATCTTAAGAACATTAAATCGTATTATAATAGTCAATAGATCAAATAAAACCTTATAATGAAGGATATATATATATATAGTATGATCACATAATAGTTAGACAATAAGAATATAGTATAATATTTGTCCATAAGTAATTGCTAGAGGATACCATTCGTTTTTTCTCGTCCGGATATAACAGATATATCGATTTTAAGAGAATCAACAGTACTTTTGTTGCCCGACCTTTGTTAATTGAATGAAAATAAGTTTGAATCTATCACCCATTATCCAGGTTTTCAATGGTGGTTTGTGATTTCAATGACATTATTTTATAGTTAGCCGTATGAATCAATCATCTATAGTCTTAAAATTAAAGTAATAAATTACTGAATAATCCACTTGATCTATCAAACATTCGGATCCCACGTCGATTTGAGTAGTCAAGAACCATCATTTGAAGTGTAGCACAAAATCAAGTGGAAGAACGTGTATTCTAGTTAGCGAGTGATATCAACTTACTTGAATGTTCACTTTAGGAACCAGATTAAAAGTCAAAATATCAGTCATTAGATTGTGGTTTTTTATATTACACGTCAAATCAACTTTATTGAAAATTTGAAGATTCTTTCATCGAAGACTAGGAGAAGTTGAAGAACCATTAAAAACCCGAATCCCCTTATTAAATGCCTCATCCACATTTGGAATTTATTACTAGTATGAACCCACAATGACACAATATATGTTCATATTCAGAAGGGGTTTTGTGGAGATTTCAGTATTTTCATAGTTGAAATCACGAGATTGATAGGTTCTGAGTTGGAATCTCGCGAGGCGGGATCGTGTATGAGCACTGCTGAGGAGTCTCACAATAGGACGAAATGGCCGTCCAATGCTTCCAGGTTTTCCATGGTGGTCTAGCTTCAATTGACTCATGATTTCAACTATGAAAATATGTTCATATGTACAAATATAGTTTATGGCCAAAACAGAGAGAAGAATATCTAATGCCTTAAAATTTTCAACTTTACAATAGGAAAAAAACTGATATTGAAACAATAAATATATTGATAGAAAGAAAATATTTTAAAAAAACATATTTCTAACGGCTATCCTAATTTTCATCGGTTTTTTTCCTATTTTTTAAAACAAATGAAACAATCTTATTAGAATATTCCATAAACATCAATCGATCAACTGATGAATTTTTAAGTTTCTAAACACTCCTGGACCGAATAGTTGCTGTATATAAAATTATTCAGTGTATTGTCTTATTCAAAGAGAACTAGGGTATATATGATTAGATCGATTAACAATCAATGGAATTTGATCTTTTTCAGACCTATAATCAGAGTAAAGAATAAAATAAATTCAAAAACATCGAATCTTTATTCAAACATTTCCTGTTGATCATAGTAATTGAGATAAATGGAAAATACTGCACATAATATTATAAATAAATGGTTCACCATTTAGTCTTACTATGCTATCTAGTTAGATCATGTTTGCCGCATGAATACTGAGACAAGTAAGCTAGTGAAGGAATAAGTTATAGTTGATATTGAATGCTACGACCCAACCTACTAGAATTTTTAGCTAATGTGGCTTGGAATTATTGTTACGCATTAAAAAGGAGTCTATCATTTCGAAGAAGTAAATAACAGTCCAAACCTCCCTTCCACAGAAATGTTACAAATAATATCTTTTCTAACAGGAATATTATTAATGACTAGTATTCAAAGTCAAAATGCCCATTATCCATTAGTAGCTGAATCCTGTTTGTCACATTGCGGCTTTAATGCCCCGGATAGTCCACTTAATACGATACTTTTTTGCTGCCAATAAGACAAATACAAAGCCATATCACTCAGCATCTTTAAACACTGGTTGTAGATACTGTGCAAGCCATAACCGGGTCGTCCGCAGCTACCTATATGACTTACTCAAATTATCGAATGGATTGTTACCAAGTTTTGGTCTAAGCCGATACTAGCTTTCTTCCAACCTTATCTATTCACCACTGAGCGTCAAGATTTCTAATTCTGTGCTGAGATTCCGCTAGACACTAATCCACTACGGCTTGTCAGACTCTCAAGATTGATTTATTTGAACACATAAACACTGGTACAAGGAGGCATCAAATATATATGAGCCACACTTCGTCATTCGATTTGTGTGGGGGTTGAAATACTGTTTTACATCCCAAACTTCCGAGGTAGATGAATCGGTCGATTTTCTCAAATACTTCACTTTCTATGATCAATCCAGACCAATCTTGATGTAACACTTTGCATTCAGAGGAGGAGGGCAAGTTTCCTCTCAATTATGTTTAGAATGTTGCTTAAGGTAATCAGAAGACTTTGAATTTTGTCAGTCTTCATCAAGCAGGACAATCTGCGTATTTTAAGTTAACAAATAAATCTTTTGGTAGGATATCAATCTCCGAAAAGTCAAAGGCCGGAATCATTATTTTAAAACAATGCCAATGACAGAGTTTAACAAAATTGAGAAAGTGGGTAACCTAAAAGAACAGCACTTTCTTACCAGTTCTGGTGACGACCCGCCAAACGCTCTAGATCGACTGGCAATAGAAAACCTTCGTAGGGTTGATGAACTTATTAGATACCCCTTTTGATGGGAGATACTACTGGGAAAACTTTCCCAACAGAGTCGAACGCTGCCAAAGTCAAAAAATACAAATAGTCAGAAATAGGTAGAAATGCCTGTCCTTCATTACCAGAAGAAAAGTGGATGATCGATTAACACATCTACATCTGAAACCAGACTATTCTTCCCTAATTTACGATTTACGAGCAATAGTTGAGTGGTCGATGATTATTGAAGCTAACAATCTAGACATTGTATTATTCAAATTGATACCTATGTGGTTATATAAAGCTCTCTCCGTTTTCTTACAAACTAGGACGATTAGCTATCACGACCGGCCAGGTGAGATTACGTCCAGTTTCCTGATCTTATCTAGTATCTTGTCAATCTAACTGCTAAAACTGGGCCATCATCCTTAAAGATCTCCAGATCCAATTTATCAGGGCTTCTGCCCTCTTGATCTTAGATAAGCTATAGCCTTTTTAATTTCATGGAGAGCCAGAAGGCTTTTGTTGATATCCCACTTAGGTTGTGTTGTAACAGACAGTGACTAGAGGGTGGATGTAGACTCGTTAAACTGTGTGTCGGTCCTTCACCTATTGCATAAACTGTTTGAGCTGAGATTAGATGATGGTCTCAACTTTTACAGATATGATCTCAGTAACGAATGACTTTTTAATGCTTGTTATTTTAATAATTCTAAAAGGCTATATACTAATGACAATTTTCGCTACTTTCTTCACCCATCACTGCTCACAATGATTGACTAGACTTTCTGTCGATCTATGCTTAAGTCGTCATTGCTCCTCACTGTTTGGAACCTGATTGGGTGTTTCCGAGCACCTATCAGTTCACAAAACACCAATGAAGCGTATCAGTGTTTCTTAACCTCTTAGTGTAAGTCACTAGAAGATATCGACACTGGTTGCACAGCTGTTTGAATATCATCCCAGAATACTTTGGGGAGAATGTCACTTTCATGACTAAGACGTCCTCTAATTGTTTCTGAAATATGCTCTTGACTTTCCCAATGATGAGCGGAACTCTAAGAGGACATATCGTAGTTTTCCTGTGCATAGTAAGATACAGGCAAACGCGTTCTCACACTGAAGAGTGATCAAAGTTTAAGCATATGTTTGAGAACTAACGGAATTCTTCTGTCGAGTCTCACCAGCGATGAGTGATGGCGATGTAAAATAATCTGGTCCGTCGTTAAGTTCAGATAAGAGGTCACCACGTCAGTGTATTTATGTCTGGATATTTATGTATTGAGTTGATTCCAGCTAAAAATAAACGGTTGCTAAAACCTGTTAGCAGCAAACAATAGCCGTTCTTTTCGCTAATCTGGGACACCGTTAAACACATAAAAATTTCGTTTAGTTGTGTTTAGACTACCTACTTGTGCATTAAAATCACCCGCTATAATTACAATTGAGCATTTTAGCTTTTCTAAGGAGATCGAAATGCTTTTTGTGAAACCTTTTTGATGCAAACCAGAGTCAGTAGAAGCGTATGCAGTGATGATGACACAAGTCTTGTTTTTAAACCATTATCCTTCCGAATTTAATATTTCTCATTATTGTTAATAATATTTCAACTTTTTCGCTATTTATTTCATTAATTTCATCTAGTTGTCCCGAAATTGTATGTCGACTCGGGCTAAGGCACATTTATTCTGAACTCTACCTCAATCATGACTCAGAAATTCTTCTAATAACCATTAGTTTGACAGTTTTAATTCCTCTAAATTTACTTCTGTTCAGGTGGACGAATAGTAACAGTAGTTCCCAAACAACTAAAATCTGTCACAAATCCGAACAAACAAATACGTATAATTAATTAATTGGCATAAAAGGTGAATAATTGAAAAAAAGGACCAGAAAGAATGATACTATGATAGAAGAAAAAACAACAATTGATTTCCTCAGTTATATTTTGTTCTTATTTATTTTTTTCTTAATTTGACCATTACAGCAATGAGAATGGCTTCCAATTCTACTTCTATAAATAATGGCTAAAATTATCATCATGAACATTATAATCAGTTCAGAAGAAGAGGAATGAGAGGTAGGATGGGAAAAAGCTGAACTCAATCTCAAAGAATACTCAAATAATACTGTATAAACTTATGATACATTTTATAATTTTTTTTTAATATTACTATTATTACTAATATTACTAAACTAGACAAAACTACCTTCACACTATAATGAATTAATGATAGTTAATTGTAAAAAGTGAAACGTTATTCGAATACTCCATTATATTGGTTTTAGTTTATATTTATCTTATTTTATAAATCACCTTGATGATAGAAAAAGTCTTTTCTTTGCATACAATACAAATTGATTGTTTCGTTGGTATTGTGCATGACAACTAACTATGTGTTTGTGTGTAAAATAAAGAAATTTTCGCATGAAATAACATATTTTACATAGAAATCCTTAACAAACAGACAAACAAAAACGGACTGAGAGGTGACATTTGTTCAGTAGGCTTTAGTTCTCAATGATTCTTTAATTTATGATAAAAATACTACTTATATGAATCAAGCTATAAATTATTTTAGTGAGTAAGATAATGCAGATCCATATTAATATCAGAAGGGTTTTTTGTGGAGATTTAGTATTTGCATAGTTGAAAGCATGAGTCAATTGAAGCTAGACCACCAAAGAGGAGTCCCACAATAGGACTAAACGGCCGTCCAGTGCTTCCAAGTTTTCCTTGATGGTCTAGTTCCAATTGACTCATGCTTTCAACTATGCAGGTACATATTAACAGTGTGATTTTCTAATCTTTTACACAATAAGTTTACTTTAATAATATTGCTTATAATTAGACAGAGAGAACAAGATACAGTTTGGATTATTGTTGAAACATACCTTACAATCAAATCTATATGGTGTTAAACATGCACAGTAAAGCATAATATAATATATATAATAATAGTAGTAATATATAATAAATAAATCATATGAGTTCATAACATGATTTACTGATTTCAATAGAATATCTATTACTAATCTGAGTTTACTTTATAAAGCGCAATTTTCGAACAGCATTATGTTAGCGAGATCATAATAATACGGCAGAGAATAATCAATTTATCGGTATGGGGATTTGTTGAGATTGTAGTATTTTCACAGTTTAATTCGCAAGTCGATCTAAGCTAGACCATCAGTGAAAACATGGAAGCACTAGACAGCCGTTTTATCCTAGTATGGGACTCCTTAATGATCTAGAGGTTAAGCGTTCGCATGCAAGATTGAAGGTTCTGAGTTTGAGTCCCGCATGTGGAATCGTGGATGCGCACTGCTGGGGATTCCCATGCTAGGACGAAACGACCGTTCAGTGCTTTTAGGTTTTCAATGATGGTCTAGCTTAGATCGACCAGTGAATTCATCTGTGAAAATAGTTATTTTTATTTAACTAAGCCTAAAGAAAAGATAGACGATCTTGATAAGTTAATGTAAGTAATAGCTGTTTTTGTTGATAGACATTTTAATTATAATGTAACAATTAACTAAAGAAAATTTAATTCTATGTTTTGTACAGCAACAATCATTATTTCTTTAATAAATAAGAGGTAAAACTGTCATTTTATAAACCTATTGACAGTTTTCTTGGACTGTCTTATTAAAAAACCTACATTATAAAGTTAAGATATAAATGGCTATATGAAACCTAGGGACATCGAACTTTAAAATTAATTACTTCTACAACTTAGTGATTACATTTCGAAAAGTGATTAGCATATTCCGACTTGTCAGATGGATGTACCTGCATTACATTGTTAATCTCCACAGAGACACTGAGTTCAAAGGAAATGAAAAACTGAAAGTGATGCTACGTGCATAAATTACACTAAGGTAAACAAAGAATACATTTGAGAAGCTACAATTAAAGCGTCTATATTTCCATTTACAGCTCAGAAGCAGAAAACCTGACAGTATGTCCGGCGCTTTAACCGGGTTGGTTATTTATTTAAACACACAAAAATATTGGTACAAGGAAGCACCCGATACATATGTGCCATACAAATGTCATTCGATTTGCTTGAGGGCTGTGATACAGCCCAGGTGCCCAGACTGAAGCAGGTGGTTATCTTAGGGGCTCACATCCGGAGCCTTTGACCTAAAGATCTGATCCACAAGGCAGTGGAGCATCGTGAGGAGATGCAGTCCCATGGTAGCCGGTTATCAACGATTGATTCGTACGCCATATGTTCCCTCAGGATATTGGAGCCCATGTGCACCATTGGTTTGTGCTCAGGGTTTTCCAACTCCCCTAGGTGGACTCGCCTTGTCCACCAACCCGGTTAAAGCGCCGGACATTCGCTTTTCGTCCTCTCAATTTCGTAAACAACAGTAATGCCACGAGAAGGCAGTGAGTAGGACTTCCCTGGCAGAGGCTATATATTCTTTAGCCATGTGAGAGCATTTCGAGAGGAAGAGCGGACTCTCCCTACTCCCGGCCGTACCAGGGCATTTGGGGGCACAGAAAGTCCACCTAGGGGAGTTGGAAAATCTTCATTCCAAACCAATGGTGCACAAGGGCTCCAATATCCTGAGGGAACATATGGCGTACGAATCAATCGTTGATAACCGGCTACCATGGGACTGCATCTCCTCACGATGCTCCACTGCCTTGGCGTCAAAGGCTCCGGGTGTGGCCCCTTAAGAAAACCACCTGCTTCGGTTTATGCACCCGAGCAGTATCACAGCCCTCACACAAATCTCATTTGATTTGTGTGATGCATATATATCTGGTGCTTCCTTGTACCAATATTTATGTGTTCAAATAAATAATAATGTCTTAGTCAACCAAAAACTTTTCCGTACGTAAATGTTAGCAAGAATAGTAAGCAGAGATAGGACTAGATGAAGAGATGAAGACTAGGTAACATATGATTAAACTAAATCAGTCGATGAAAATTCGCCAATATTACACATTCAATTGTCCAATTTACACTTAAACAATATTCCAACTAAATACAAAATAAGCATGTTACTCTACAAACTATGCTTTATATTTATAAAGTAATGGAAATTTAGATTAAGTAAACAGTCGTAATAATGTATTTCCAAGGATCTTAGTTTAATGAAGGCATTCGAAAGCAAAGATAACCACTGAAAGCGAAAAGTAAATATATACCACTACATTAGCAAAGGATCCAAATATGTACCTAATTCAGTTGATGATGGATGGGCTTTTGTTAAAAAAAAATCAATACGGAAAACATTTTTGTGAAGAACTTGATTTTCTCTAGTTTGACTGAATTCTATCTATGGACAATTGTGAAATATTTCCATCTTGGATGGCTTGAAAAAACAAAAAACATGTCAATTTCGGAATTCAATCTAAATCTTGTATACTGAATGATTAACAAATTAAGGTCTAGGATTGGTTGACATTTCAATTATGACACCATATAAAGCGGACATGTGAAAATTTTAACCATATGTATCTAACACTATGACATTCTGCATACATACACTGTCTATTTTTGATGCATACGAACAATGAGAAAGTATATCTTTGTTTTAAGCATTATAGACCGGAAGGAGTCATCATAATAGATCCAAAAAGGCAAGATTTGTACATTCATATGGCAATTGAAGAAAATTATATTTTAGCTTGTACAAGTAATTTGTGCAGATAGACTACTTTTTTCAATCCTATCAGCAACCCGACTTTATCGATTAGTATTTTAAAATTACCAGGATAAGTAATGTCAAGTGTGCCTGAGTTTGCTATTCGTATGTTGTCCAAAATGAAATAATAGGTTAAGTAGAATCATTGACTACTTGGACATTTAATACTTTTTCAGCGCATCTAAATGCTCCCATTTAATAAACATTAAACGATGGGCTAGTAACCTATTATTTCAGTCATAACAAAATCATTATTCATAAACTCCATACAAAGCCTTGAACTAGGTTTTATGCAACACCAATCGTATGAAGACTGACGACTCGATAGGATGAGAACCCATGGTCCAATGCATTTCAGGAGCACTAGTGCTACTATGTACTTCCAAGTAGACAGATAGGATGCTGAAAATATAACTAGGTTCTTGTACATACTAAGAAACTTCCCAGCCAGTATGTGTAACACATACTTTATAATCTCGTGCAAAACTTCGTAAAAGCATACAGATTTTGAGCATTTACGTAGACTGAGCTAGTGTGTAATTTACAAACTAGAAAGTAAAAAAAGCTTATATGCGGGTGTGTGTTAGAAACTGAAAATCAATAACTGCACGTGCGTATAACCAGTTATGGGGCATTTACCACGTGAATATTAAAATCGCTAATTGGACGTACGAATTACGGAATCTCAATCGGATTTTATAAACCGGCCGCGAAGGTGAAATATCCATTTCCTAGCTAAAGGACGAATATACAAAGCAGAAGTTTGTTTTAATTATCGTCATGAAATTCGGCCCTTAAAAATAGAAGATACTCTTAAGTCACTAGTGTTCAATCAAAGGTTGTCTTTGAACGATTCCTCGTATGTGTTGGCATCATCGAGTTAGAAAACCTGACGCTCGACAGAAGGCATTAGGTATGTAAAAATGACGAATCGATTGGTGAGGTGGCCTTTATTGACTGAGATGGTTAAGACATGTATAACGAATGCTCATTTCCCAGCTAACTCGATGCGTGACGATAGAAGCTAGAGAGTCACACCAAAAAATTGCATCAACCCACGAAGACACTAACTGTTCAAAAACCATGTAGGCAGTTGCAGACTACATAGTTGAGGTCTATTTGATCATTGTAACCAATACCTAGACATTGGGTAATGGCTGAAAATCGTTCTCAATAGCACAGACCCAACGTTTATAAATTACCTTATCTTTTTATTTGACCAAACCATACTTTCTTTACGCATAGTATCTTCTGTGACTAATCTTTCCTATTACCACTCATACTGTTACTACGTTTGCCACCTTGGGATTTGCCTTGACAATTTCATTTCACTGTGCCAACTGGGTATCGCAACTTAAACCGACAAACACATGAGCCAGATTTTACGCTGCGTATGACTGATTGTTTGACTTGAGTGCTTACGCTGACACAAATGAAGTTTTTAACTCGTGATCATAAATAGTTTACAGGTCGGACACCTAAAATCGTAGTTCATCGAACAAAGTTACCGCATTTCGAAAAAACATCGAGCAAGGATAGAAAAGAGAACTATGGCCCGAAAATAACAGGGGAAAAACACAGAGTTACGGTGAGTTACTACTACTACAAACACTAAATAAAAGTTGATGAAACAGTATTGTTGTTAACAAAACTTCAAAACGATGTCATCTAAAATCGCCCAACTACAGGTTACGAGAATAAGTAGACATTTTCATGCAGTCGTAGGAAATATAAACTGGAGGTGTTATGCCTAGACTAAACTTACATTTATCTTGAAAATATTTATGCTAATGAATTCACACAGAAAAACAATCCTATCCACATAAACGTAACAAAGGAAAATTATCATTATAACTATATATGTATATAAAAAAACAAAATAAAATTGAACAAAAGAACAAAAACAGAGAACTCGATTAAAAATGCAACAGTAGTATTAATAATAGTTGTATACTTAAATTGGAGATTATTTTCTTTTTACATAATAACACATACTCTCCAATAAACAAACAAAATAAATGGACACATCCACTTAACAACATACAACACACACACACACACAAGAATACAGGAACAGACACATACAGAATATGTAAACGTTCATCTAGAGAAAAAAAGAACCAACAATTTCATTGAGTTGAAATTAAAAAATAACTTTGTCTACATGATTTTGATTATATTTCAATGGAGAATAAGAAATAATAATAAAGTAGGAATAAAAATCAACACAAAATGAAAATATCTACATGAAGTTTTGGTTCACATGCTCTGTTGTAACACTGCATGCAATTATGAATCTGGATATTAAAGATGCATTGTAACCTGGTATATATATAGTATCCTAAGTAAAGTGGGAACACTAAGCAGTTTATTAGCTGTTTTTCATAAAATAAATTAAACTTAATGATCAGCGATAGTATTGATAGTGATAGCAATTATAATAAGAAAATGCAATGAGCCACAGGTATATGCATATATATATATATATATATATATATATATATATACTTTATTGGTAAGAATAAATTCATTACCAGGATGGTCCAGAGAAAACTAATTTGACGGAGTAAGACAGAAAAAAAATTGTGACAATTAAAATCAAAAAATGATGAGACCAATCCGTGTATTTGTCGGTTTGAAAATCTTTTACAAACTGATGAAAGTCGGGAAAAATGCTTAAAGAAAAAATGGGATAAGTAAACTGTCACGCATTTGCAAGCGGGAAAATTTTGCTATTTGAAAGGACATATACACAGAAGACAAAATATGCTATTTTTTCTAGAGGTAGGTTGGTAAATGGAATATGATAAAGAATGAAGTCAGAAAAAATCAAGAAGAGAAAAGAACGGTTTTTATCGGTTGCGCTTGTGTTTTACATAGTGTGTGTATAGCATACATACTGAATACTAACAATTAGCATAGATTGCACTGAAACAAAAGAATAGCCCAGTTCAGGAGAAGCAGAAAACAAGTCAAACTAAAAGAAGCAAGAAAAGTATCTGCACAGAAGGAATAAGACTTTTTTTGAAGTAAAGATGCAATATAGGGTGAGGTAAATAGATTTCAGAATACACAAGATAATAAATAAATATACACATAGAAACCCAACTTTGATGTATATTTTTTATTCGTATTAAAAATGGATGAAATTACGAGGATAGAGTCGATGAAAGTATTAACAACAAGCTATAATTTACTATAATGGTAACAACAAATATAATAGTCTGACAGAGATGGACAACAATAATAATGACAAATAAAGAAATATTAGTTTAAATTCAACCTGACATAAAAAAAATTCAAAACCTAAGAGTTAGAAGAGGAGGAAACAATGAATTAAGGTTGCTTACACATATTACATAAATATATTATATTAATAGACTATGACGAAATGGAAAGATGAAGAACCACGAAATAGAGTCTCTTTCGCCGAAAAAAATATGATTCAAATGCATATTAAGAAGTATAGTGTTTGAAGTTACGGTATTCTAAAATAGCTGATTGTCGGTTAGTAAACAAACAAACGTGTCAATAAATGTCTGTACAAAAAGGAACAGAATAGTTCACAAAATCGATATGATTGTGCACTACACTGTATCTAAGAAGAAAAAAAGAGACCCAATTTAACATTATATAACATAATGTGAAAAAGTCAAATGCAAATTCACTTCATAAAAAAAACCGGTTGGTAATATATAGTGAAGAAAAGATTGATTCTGGTATATCTTTCATAAAATTGTTTGCGTCATCACCATTAATATCGACTGAAGAAGAAAGTTACTTTCAAATGGATATACACATAACATAACGTAAAAGTTGGATTCAAATATAAAAAAGCTAAGCGACAATGGAACTAGTTGTCGGTGTAATTGTTGTTGTACTGTTTAATTGATGCGATGTTGTAAGTGTCAATGAATGAATTGGTACAGAAGAAGACGAAGATGAGGAGGAAGAAACAACTGCGGCGGCGGCAGCGGCTGCAGCCAAATACTGTTGATGTTGCACTTGCATATATTGTTGGTGCGTTGAATGAGCCGCTGCTGCTGCCGCCGCTGCCGCATACTGAGCTGGTACTACACCAGGTATAAATTGTGCAGCTGCTTGAGGGAATAAACTAAACGCAGCAACTGATGTGCCAGAATGAGCAGGTGAAATGAGACCCTGTTGTTGAAGCATGGCGGAATGTTGTTGCATAAGCTGTTGCTGTTGATGATGAGTCTGAGTTTGTTGTTGTTGAGTTTGTTGCTGTTGTTGTTGAAGTTGTTGATGCAACTGAATAACTTGTTGTTGGTGTTGCAGCATTTGATGTTGATGGTCCTGCTGTAACTGACCAGTTGAATGCTGAAACTGATGAGCAAACTGAGGTTGATAGAATTGGAATTGAGATCTAGGTTGTTGTTGTTGTTGTGTCTGTTGAGGTTGATGTTGTTGTGACTGAATTTGTTTAGATTGTGTTTGGTGATGAACAAAATGTGCCTGCTGTTGGCTTTGTTGTTGTCCAGTTTCTTGTGATTGTTGGTTTTCCTGGAGTTGTTGGCGCTGTTGTTGATGAATGAAGGCTGAAACATTAGGGATTTGTTGAGAAGCTGAATAAGCTACTATCTGCGGATATTGTTGTTGAGTTTGATGAAACTGACGACCTAATGCTGCCGCAGCCATTACAGCTGCAATATTCGTATTCGCCACTGTAGTCGATGTTGGATTCACAGAGACAGGATCAGCAATTGAAGATATTCCTGTTCGCTGTGTTAGCCCAGACGTACTAACCGGAAATGAAGTTACATCTGCTCCCATTTTCTGAGAAGAAGAGCTTTGATAGACACCAGAAGTGTTGGCAACTGAACAGTTATTGTTGCCACTGTCCGAAACCGCATTAGTTCCCAAAAATGAGATTGAAGAAGATGCACCTGTGTTATTAGAATTGACTAGAAAGGGCATTACTTGCGCATGAGGATAAGATCCTGAATTAGCGGTTGTAAATCCCATAGAAGTAGTTTGATTTGTTGCATAAATGGAAACAGGATTAGCTGCTGTCGAGGTATGAGGAAATTGTCGTGGATGAGCGGAAAATAAAGCTGGATGATACTGAGCAATTCCTGCAAGTGAAGCTAAAGTAGAATGATGTTGTGATGGTAAATGCAACTGTTGACAAGTTGGCAAAGGGAAAGAAATCGTAGACAAAGAAGCAGGGATCTGTTGAGTATCAGCAGTCTTTTCATTCATATTAGATGGAGCTGAGCTAACATTATGGTATGATGAAAAACATGCATTACTTTGACTAGTTGTACCAACATTTGTAATTGAAGAGAAATCAAACACACTACATGAAGAATTATTGACACTGATAGGATTGGCAACAGTGAGTGGAAGACCTAGGGTCTTTCCAATAGAGTTAACACTTAGAAATGACGCCGCTGATGCAGCAGCAACAACAGCTGCTGCTGCGGCTGCAGCCGCAGTTGCTGCACTTGTAGTCTTGGATTTTTTTCCACCGGTAGAACGAGGTTTAGGTCCATACATATGAGTTTTCTCATGGAGTCTTCTTTTGTCTGAACGAGCAAAACATTTTCCACAATGGGAGCATTCATATGGCTTAACTTTGGTATGTATACGTTCATGAATTTTAAGTTTATCGGATCTTGTAAAGCGTTTAGGACAAAAAGTGCATGCATACGGACGAACACCTGTATGAGTACGATGATGAATTTTTAATTTATCAGAACGAGTGAAACGTTGTTTACAAGTAGCACATTCAAACGGTTTAACATTTAAGTGAGAAATCTCATGAAGACGCATTTTATCAGCTCTAAGAAATGCTTTACCACATATAGAACATTTATGAGGTCGGATATCAGAATGAGTTAGTTTATGATTCTTTAATGATTTCATACCTGAATATCGTTTGAAACATATATCACATTGATAAGGTTTTGTAATAGTTATATCTGCATGTGGTGGTGGTGGGGGATCACCCAGAGAAGGATCAATCTTTAATAAAATCTCTTCAGGAAGTGTTGGCAATGGTGAAAGTGTCGTTGGTAATGGTGAAACACACGTCTCACTACTAGACGTAATTGCATTAGATGATATAGAATTAGTTTGACCAGTCGAGGATATTGATGATAAACTACCATTCATTGGAATCATACCAAATGATGATATCGCAGAAGTGGGACATAATGTACTTAATACATCACAAGTTGGAATACTTGTGCTAAGAACAGTAGTGCTGGATATAGCCTCCGTTTGAGGCTTTTTACTAGTGGTTTTCGACTTTCGTTTCTGTTTCACTGGAGTGGTAGCAGTTGTAAATGATGGGAAATTTGTTACATTAAGTATAGATGTTCGAGGAGATAGTTGATTATGAACTGCCGGAGTTGTCTGAATTGTTGGTGAACTTTGCATACCAAAACCAGTAGTATCCAGAACAATCGGTAATGACTGTGATGTGTTGATACTGGTAGTCTGAAGACTAATACCTGAAATCGGATTCATTTGTTGCAACTGAGGAACAACAGGTTGGCGCTGCAAATGCTGATGCAACTGTTGTTGTTGTTGCTGTGGTTGAGATGGGTTTGAAAGTCTAGCTTGTTGTTGCAACGAATGTTGCTGTAACTGTTGTTGTCTAAACTGTTGTTGCTGTAACTGAATTTGTTGTTGAAGTTGTAATTGGTGTTGATGTTGTTGCTGTTGTTGTAATTGTATTTGATGTTGATGTAACTGTTGATGTTGTTGTGACTGTGCGTGAGTTTGTGATGGTATTGAATGCTGCGAAGTTAAAGGTGTTGTTGATTGTAAACCAAGTGAAAAATTATTACTTGTTCCACTGACTGAAGGAGAATTATCTAAATTGACACTACGAGAGGTGGCAGTTGATGAATCAGGTGACTCAAGATGTTGGAACGAATTGGCGTTTGGAAATTGAAATGGTGCCCCTGCTCCCGGATGTACTGCTGCAGCTGCAGCGGCTGCCGCAGCAGCCGCGTTCCCAGCTGTTTGTGCTGAAAGTTGTGTCCAAGAAGCGAAATGTGGGTTTTGAACCATAACTAAAACCGAAAATAGGAAAGAATAGGTTCTAGATAACCAAAAATCATATGTAGCAAACTCCACAAAAACACTTGGTCTTTTATCTTTCGATTATTATTCGTTAACTTTAGACGAAAAATATGAATCATGGATGATGACTACTGAGTTGCGTCTTTCGAGTTTTTGTTATCTTACTGATCGATCTTGATGAGCATATACAATTTAAGCATTAAAAAGCAGCATGATAATATTCAGGCTACATTTATGACAGTGAAACAAGTTAACTATATTTTAATTAGTAATGAATGTATTAAAGAAATCTGCCTTTCTCATATGATAATTACATACCTCATAAGATTTCTTTTTTGAATCATATTTATTGTTTAGTTTTTCGTCACCAACACTGCAACTATTTTAACTTTTCTCGTGTGCATCTTGTTGATTTCTTTTTCATAAGCTGATGTGATGTGGCAACTTAGGTTGGTATACAACTGGACTAGACAATACACAGTTTATGGCTGACTGATACACCTCCTTTGCCTACACAATTTGAGTGCTGTTCGCAAGGGAATCGAGATCAACAAACCATAATGCTACTTTCTGTAGGAATGATATCTACATTTTTCTATTAAATTAAAGCTAACCTGACAAAACTTATTCAATCATTGGGATAATGGTTATTATTACGTGAAACGCTTTCTGTTGTGTTTTCGGATGCGAATACTCACGTTCTTTGTTTTAAAAAACGTACGGGAAGTCATAAGCTGAATGCAGTCACAGTTTGTAATACATATACGGTATCTTGTATTCACTAGGATACAAGCGTTTTGTTTTATGACTCTCAGGTCAGTCAGAAATAAACAAGCATATTGAAACCGACCTAATTCATCAGTCAGAAAAGTAATAGGTAATAGGTATAAGATCAAGAATCAAATCAGAAAGACAATCAAATTAAATGCGTAGACAATGACAGGACAACTGTTCATAACACTTAATTTAATTAAATGTAAACAGAACAAGGTATTATTCAGTCAGTCACAACGTAGAACATAGTACACATGCATGTCAGTTTAAATTGCTATAGTTCATTAGCACAGAAACGAAATTTTCACGTAAAATCGCAGAATAGTAGAGGTAGCAGTAGTAAATAATAATAATAATAATAATAATAATAATAATAATAATAATAATAATAATAATAATAATAATAATAATAATGGGAGAAACAGTTCAGTCAGGAAAACTACAACCACAAAGAATTCTTTTAGTTAAAGAAGTTACGTCCATTCTTTATGAAGAAGGTAAAAGAAAGTTACAGTAGGATTGCAAATGGCTTCTACTCTGAGCCAAATCTGGTAATATATTAGGTCACTACTGTACCATCTCTAAGGCCCCAACCAGGAAGTCGTGAAGGACCAACAGGAACCAGTCCTAAACAGTTTTCTTTCATACCACACTAAGTTATGCACTGACTACCTCTCCGCTTTTACCAACCAGCCCCAGCGTCGGCAAATAATGCATGATGTGCAGTTCACCGGGACGACATTTGTAGTACATGTCTAAGCCACCGAAGTTGAGGTTTCGAGATGTGACACTAAATGAATTATGGTCGCTGTGTCTGAACACACGATACCGAACCTGCATCAGTAACATGGTGTTGCCACTGGATGTCCGTAATCCTTCGGATACAAAGATGATCAAACACAGAATCGACTGACATCTTCAACTCTGATAAGCCATGTTTCACAAGCATAAAGCAAAACTGCTCTCACCGATGCGTTGTAGATCCGACCTTTTACAGCCAGACTAACATCACGAAGGCGCCAAAGATGGCCCACATTGGCATAAACCGCTCTGGCTTTCACTATACATGAACTGATCTCATCACTCAAGCCACCACCAGCACTTATGCAGCTACCCAGATACAGGAACTTCTCGATTACTTCTATCTGCTCACTACCCAGGGTAAGTGCAGGATCAGGGTCCAGTCACCTGTAAAAGTACTTTGCACTTTGAAGGTGCAAAGCACATACCATGCCTATGGACACTATTTGCCAAATGATTAAGTGCAGATTGCATGGCTTGGGTATCATCGCATAGCAAGACAATATCGTCCGCATACTCAAGGTCGAAAAGTCTTTCTCCAAGCAACAGATCCACACCATCATTACCGACATCCATCAGAGTTGCTCCCAGAACGTCATTGATAGCAACATTGAAGATAAATGGTGAGATTGGCCTTTCAGGATGTTAATAAACTCAGGCACATCATTCTTCAATAGACAATTACAGAGAACAGTTCTCTTCAATGAATCCAGGGCGGCCCTGATATCAAGAAACACTACGATTTTTGGCCTGTTATAAGTATGATGGCGTTCTAACATTTATCGACGGGTGAAGATATGATCCATACATACCCAACCACAAATAAAACCAGCCTACTCCTCGCCAGTCAATCTTTCTCGGGTTTTGAACAATCTACGAAGTATGATGCGAGCCAATAGTTTAGACGTTGGGTGGATCAGTAGTCACAGGCCAGTCTGATCGATGTAAGCAGGACAGCAGACTAGTCGAACCGCTTCTCGAAAAACTCTGCCCATCGTCCAATACGTATGTAGATGTTAGTGGTTGGCTTTTCATCATCACAGATTGTTTCACTCACACCAGACTTCTTTCTGATAGTGACTTGGATAAGTTCAAGAAGCTTTCGGGACGTTACGCGAAGCCGCAAGCGACTTTCCTCGCCATTTCCGTGGCGTCATGCAATCGCAACCAATGCTCATCTATACTTTTCAGTGGAATGGTAGCTAGCCTTGAACCCAGCTTAGTTCGATATTTAGTTGCGACAGAAGCTGCAACCAATAAGCTGACATCGATCTGTTCAGGACGATGAATTTGATGGCCACTGAAACGTAAGGTAAGATTAGTACAAACAAGTGCACGATCAGAATTCAGATAGGTACTCCAAAAGGAGCAGTAGTCTTGTACACAACCATGCATAGCAGTAGCTGATCGTGATGTGATCAATGAGTTCAGGCTTGAGATGCAGAGGGATGACGCCAGGTAGCGCTATGATTGTGCCAGTAGTTAGTGCTAGCCAGAAACAGGTTGTAGTCTGAGCCCAGTTGCAGTAGGTCACTTTTCTGACCATCAGCCACCTAAACGACTCTCTACTGTGCCTAGACGCCCGACCTGAGCATTCAAGTCACCGGCTAGTACCACAATATCCGTCGAACGCACTTTCTGTTGAACAGTTAGCTTGTGGTAAAACTCACCCTTTATAGTATCCGGGCTGCAATATGTTGGAGCGTATACGAAGATGACGAAAAGGCATCGCTTCGCATACCGATTTCTCCACACTTTGATGGAACCTAATCTAGTAGCACATAACCGACTGTTAATGAGGATCCAACAGGTCAGTGCTGCGTCAGCCCTAGAGCTTAATGCGACACCAATGCTAGAAAAACCAGACGTAGACTCCACAAGGAACCAGAACAAACGCCCAAGAAACAAGCTTTTAGAAGCGACAAGTGGAGAGCGAATTTGTAGTACGCCGCTAGAGTCTTGAATACGGGTCTCGGATAGACAACAGACATGAATATTAAAGCTTTCTAAGGACATAGTCAACCCTATCTGTTGTCTGATCTGCATTAATGTGCGAACGTTGAAGGAGGCCAGTTTGAATGGTATATGTGGTTTCAGAAAGACTTTCAGTATTCGTAGTCGATGGTAGCATTCAACTTTTGATCAATCAGAGGCCTAAGATAGGACAGAGTCTCCACCATAGGCGAGCTGTTGAAAAATATAACCCCCAAAATGAGAAAAAAAGGGAGTACATAAGTGACGTATTATAAAAGAAATAAAAAAGAATGTTACTAAATGATTATGACCATGACCTGTTTGGAAGAGCGTTGAAGCAAGAGTAATTTTTTCAAAAGCATTTATCATTGATTTGTGTGGGGGTTGGGATACCATCCGGGTGCTCAAACCGAAGCAGCTGCTTTTCTTAAGGGGCCACTCTCCAAGCTCTTGATCTAGAGGTCTAATCCACAAGGCAGTGGAGCAACGTTAGATGTAATCCCATGGTAGCTGGTGACCAACAATAGGTTTATACTCTATTTGTTCACTCAGGATTCTAAGGCCCATGTGCACCATTGGTTCGAAATCAGGGCTTTCCAACCCGGTTAGAGCGCCAGACATTAGCTTTTCGTCCTCTCAATTTCGTAAACATCCCCGCCGCAAGAAGGCATTGGCTGTTTGGTTTGGCCGCCACCTAGCTTTCTTCCAGCCCACTCCTACACTAAACATTTGCCGTCGACGTAGATGACCGTTAAACACAAAATGAACATAAAAAAGTGTCATAGGTGGTTGGAAAAAATTCCCTCATATATCATCCTCTTGATTGTTGAGTCAAATCTTTGGGTATCGTATCAACCGCCTAGCTCAGAGAACGCAACTTCCCTAGAAACAAAAACAACATAGATTGATAGAACACTAGTTCGGTCATACAGTCCCTACAGCTTCCGCTAACTGAATTCGATACTAACCAGCCTTATACGCCAAGGTGAGCGGTAGTTGAGTATCATGCTGAGAATTCTATATTGCACCAAAATATAATATTGAATAAAGCCATTAGTAATAACAATACACAACCAATGTCCAAACTACATCAGTCGATGGTGCACAAACTCATTGACCGATCCACTGTTTTATCTAATATTCTACGCATAACATAAATATTATTCACTTAGCGGTCCCATGATACATACGCAATAATCCGAGATCTATGGTCAAACACTTGGAACTTACGCATGACTTGATGCAGGGAGGACTAAGATGTGGCAAACCGGTTCCAGTTAAAATGATTAGGCAGGCAAGTAGCATCATTAGTCACAAGTGCATATGCCTACGATTAACAACTGAGCTCTTGGATTCTACAAGTACTGTGTCATTTGTTCAGTAACTGGATCATTTTAACAAGTTTCAACCATTACGCTTTGTCCATCAAAAAGCACATCAAATTCGCAATGTGCCGTTTATCAGTCTTTCAATCGTAGAACACTAGCCCGGCAAATAAACAGTAAAAGAAATAACGGTAATTCACAAAAACCACGTTTTCCAAAAATACCTCAATTTGAAATCATATCGAGACTAAGTTTCTGGGGACTCGCAAGTCAAACTAAGATCCTGGTATAAGTATTGACGTGTGTTTGCCTGACAAGTTAATAGTACTTTAGATACCTGCCATTAACGAAATAATCAGTTTTCCATTCTGAAACAACTGCTCTTAAACGCCTTCATGTGTTACTGTAGTATCAGTGTGTGGAGGTCTTCGACAGATATTATGAGCGAAGAATACAACAAGAATTTTAATCACTGAGCCCCAGATCAGAATTTTACTAGATCTACTTCGATAGAGACAGACAGGTAATATTACTAACCCAACACTAAGATTAAATCAAATTCGTGGACATGAAAATTCACACCAATAATAAGTTTAGTGTTAGAAACCTAGAGCTTACATAACATGAGGTGATACTAAGACGTTCGTTACCATCCTTACGAACTTAAACGCTTTAATATTACAATAAAAGATAGCCCGTTGAACTTCATTACACGTAATCTTTACGCGAACACCCGGGAGATTCCTTATTTATCTTCTTTGAGGATAGATAAGAAACAGGTAGAAAACAATTTAATCGCCTGTATACAAATTGCAGTTAACACGATTAGCGGTTTATTTGACCTTAGTATCTCTTATACTATGCTTTCAGCAAGCACAAGTGATTTTAAAATACGTGCCATACAAGATAAGTACGAACACAATAACAAGTCTTGATGATGTCCCCTTACAATTCAAATCGACAAAAAAACTCACAAGTAATTATTCATCCCTTATAAACACGTTATAGATGTTAGTGAGCAATCGTTTACACTTTAAATCAAGGACTTACACCTATAATTGAGTTTGCGACCTGCAAACGTTTTTATCAAGAGATCCGTTCTTGAGACCTACTAATGGAAGCGTAACTATATTTAATCGACTTATTTGATAAAAGACCGAAAACGCAAGGTAACTCAAGAGAAAAAATAACATAGACACTCGACCTGTTTTCGAAACAATGTGAATCGTTAACAAAATTCGAATGCCAACATCGACTACATAGGACTAACTCAGCAGTGCGCTTGACGTTCAATTTTTTATTCATTGAGTTGAAAACATTTTGAACCATTTTGATGGTGTTTTTTTAATAAAATTCAATGGCTTTAAAATAAATTTGTATTGAGTCTCAAATAACCAGAAGAACCGAAGGGTCAAAACCCATTTTCTTACAACACTAAGTTGATAAACGCATACCTGGGAACCTTCCATTTTCCATTAGTGGGTGATTTCCAGCCAATGATAAGAAAACATTGTCCATAGCAAAGGAAAAAACACCATAAAGCCCAGATTGGTAGTAGCCGCTTTCGTTAGCACTACCATTTGAAACAAAGTTTATAACACAGGTTTCAATTTCAGTTTAATAAAGCCAGAAGTCATTTTTAATAATGTAAAATTAAAATATTTATCATTCCATATCAAGGAGAAACTTCAAGGGTGAAAGGTTTTCTCACGGTCCTGAGAAGACACTGAGAAAATTTTCAAACAGTTAGGGGCTAGTGGAGAAGATTTGTAGCTCAGGTGGGTGATTTTGATGTTGGTTTGTTCTCTGAGCTGGGTGGTTTGATCGTGGAGCTTTCATCGTCCTCCTGAACGACATCATCAGCACACTTCACTTCTACCCGAAGTTTGTGCTGATGATGTCGTTCAGAAGGACGATGAAAGCTCCACGATCAACCCAGCTCAGAGAACAAACCAACATCAAAAAAGTTAGGGGCTAAGATCACCTAACGGTTATTTGATGTACATTTTGTTTTAGTGCCCCTATAGCAAACAACTTGATAATCACAAATAGTAACTCTTAGATCAACTTTTCTGTAGAATGTGTACTACTGGAATCAGCATAAAGTTACTACGTAGGTAAACCGTTTCTGTTCACAACCAGCACTTTCAACCTACAAATTTCATGAAGAAAGGAGTTCTCCGGGGACAAACTGTTGAATTTTTTCAACTCTCCAATACCAATATCTGAATTGCATGCTAGCAGAAAATGATGAATTTACTTTTAACTTACAAAAGGTTGAATAATTAATGTCAGAGACTGTTGCATGTACTATGATGAACAGAAATCAAAGTGTTTCCAAAGTGCGGCTTACAAGATCTTTGGTTTAAGACTTTTATATAGGTTGCAAATGTTTAGGATGAGTCTGTGGGGAATAGTGTAACGTCGTGTACTATATTACACCTACATAGCTTATTCTAGTTTCTGGACAAGCCAATTCACCTATAACGTTATGAGTCATATTTTGATCTTGTTAATTATTCGCTTATTGACCTTGACTATTTTTTTATATGAGCGCATGTGTATGCACCCTTCTTATCCTACCTATCACATGTCTGTCATTCATTTTAGCCTGACTATAAATGTTGATTAATGCTTGCTTATAACGAGTTGGCTTCCCAGCCATCTCCACTCTGCGTCATCTTTCCTTCGCTTGCTTACATTTGCTAATGTGCTCACTGCCTTCTAGCCCATGTTATTTATCAATAAAAATGTAGTTGCTGCTTCCCTTGGTCTTCTGATATTATACTCCGTTTACGATGATATAATAACGGTTATCGAGACGATCGATTAACGAAGCACTACACTACATATTGGTAATCCCGACGTACGAACACGCAACACATATTGACGATCCCGAATTACGAACGCGAAGCAAAGTTGGTAACTTCAACGTACGAACTCACAACATATTGGTTAGCCCGAGATGCGAACACGTAACAAAATTGGATGCCTCGCCGAACGAACACTCAACATATTGGTGAGCTGTATTTGGAACACGCAACAGAATTGGCGACCGCAACGAGCGAACACAAATCCAAAATGGAACCGTCGACGACATATTCCGTTATGATTCAAATAATCATCACAAGCTCATTATTACAATAATGTCATATCATCATCTAACGTGGAATTATTATTTTTGTTCGTATTGACACTAAACTATGACATTTACGCGGTCATATCACTAATCGAACAAATTATAATGATATGGACATTACACGTTATGATATTCGAAACTCACTGGATTATTTTTATTATCCAATGACGTACAATTTTCCTGATTCAAGTGAGTTCGTTCCAATTTTTTTTTCATGTCATTTTCGGTCTAAGATAACACTATCATAGACATAAGTTTGGAGTCATACTCCCGATAGTAGGAACTTATGTTCAATGGTGAAGTCAGTTTCCCCGGTTTACATAATGCTACTAAGTGATGTTATATTCAGCACTTTCCTGCAACAGACCGCCATGCCTTGAGAAGGTCATATAGACTATTTGGACTATAGTACGATAGATGTTCTGAACACAACTTCTCGGAAAGTCTTGCTCTTGTATATGATTTTTCCACCTCCTTTATTTTCCTAAAGCTTTGGTAAAAATCTGGGTTCTTGACTTCACCTCAAGGTTACAACATAGATGAGGTCTACCGTTCAGACTTCGATTTCGAGTTCATGTACTGAGGGTAGAAGGCTAATAACTTGCATTATTTCATTTCCAGGAAGTTTCTGTTAGTGTTTAGTCGTCCTATGAACTACTTAGTTTAAGTTAGTGACTCCAATTTTTCATGTGATAAGTTCCAAAGGTTGATAGCTCAGTGAAAATACCTGTGTAGTAGGCGTCGGGTCGCGGTTGACCATGATCACCACTACAAGAAAACTACGTGCTAGTTACTAGGTTGGGTTTCTCCGTAGACCAAATATTAGAAGACAATTAAAGTTTGTAGTAGGGTGGTATTTGTTGGCGATCTTGTGGTATCAAAATATTACTGAAATCGTGCCGAAGTTTACAAACGGGACTACTGAGCGTACGCGAGTTCGTGCAAAGTCACAAAACAACGAAAAAGTGTCTTTTCGGTACACTTAAACAAAGAGGTACAATAAGACAATCACTGGTAAAATTAGTTATAACATTAATTGTTTCCGTTATACCAGTCATGTTCTCTTCATAAAATTAGGTCACTACACTTGTATGCTATGGGTGCTTTGATCGTCCATGACTTTTGAACTCATCTGCCATGTCCTCTGAGTTATAGTGATCTGGTAGGAAGAGAGATGACATATCAAAATCATTCTCTAGCATTCTTCACATTAAAATCATATCACATTTTTACACCCTGCAATAGAGATTATATAGAGATGTAATTTTTCTAGCCTTACTGAGTATTGTAAACCTAGGAATCCTAAACTTGGACTAGCGGTCATCCTCTGTACATTTTCCACTATATTTGATTCACTTTTCGGATGGAGCAATGCAGCTCAAATGCAGTTTTGAAGTTTAGACCTCATAAACTCTGTATATAGTGTGGTGAATATACTTGCATTCAACCTGGTGAAAGTCTGTCTTGAAACTTGTATGGTCCAGAACACCTTGGATGGAATCTCAAGGAAGTGGTCGCTTATTAATAACACTAGATCGTGGTGAGGCAGAACTAAGGGCATCTCCTCTCTTCAAATTTAGTATCTGTTTGTCTTTGTGTCGGTGATGTTTATGCGGGCACACTTGTTTGTGTTCAGACTAGTCAGCTAAAACGTACAATTCTACTTGGAGTGGGTATGCGTCTGCGTTCCCCATTACTTGTCATCAAACTCTGACGTCCTCAGCATAAAGTGGCATAGGTAGCTTAGCCATACTCAGAAGTTAATTTACATGTAGTTTAAAAGGTAAAGGATCTAGAATAGAGTCCTGTCGTACTTCGGCACATACTGGTTTTTAAAAGAGACACTTGGAATCCATTCCTACTTCCTTTCTACGGTCTCCCAAACTGTCATTGATCCACTTCAGAAGAGATTCATCAGTTCCAGAATTCTCCATCTTCAAAAGAAGTTTGTTACATGGTATATTATCGAGTTATCTGTCGAATCCGACGGTGACAACATTCACTGATTTTCTTCCATCGAATAACTCTGTTCATACCTCTCCTGCTATAGAGAGGTTGACTGCCCTAGATGAAGCCACTGTGTTCGATGTTTTTAACAAGTTGTTGATTACCACATTAATCATAATAGTCTTTCTGATCATATTTACAAGTACTTTAACTACAACAATGGTGAGGTGAAACAGTCTATATTTTGATGTGTGTTTTCTTTATCCTGTTTTGTGAATTAGGGTGACAGTTGCACTCTCGCAGTCCTTACGTTGCTCACCCTGACTAAGTGGTATCTTGGATATCATAGTCAACAGGATAACAATGTAAGTTGTTCCAGAGTTGTAGGGTGTAGTTCATCTGTTACTGTTAATTTTTCCTTGTTTAAGGTGATTAATGTCCCTAGTTCGTTGTCTCGGTTGATGTCCATAATGAGTAGTCACTTCGTTGATACTGGTCTAGTACTTCTTCAAAAGGAGGATCATAAGTGAAGAACACGGAGAAGTAATTAACCAGAGCTCTTATCATTTGAGATACGCTTCCTTCCTTAACTAAAGTGAGTATCCATGAATGTATTTCTCTTGTGTGATCGATTTATTAGGACAGCCGTCTTAGCTGGTTCAGCTCAGATTGCACCAACTGATTTTTGTATTTCCGCTGAACTTCATTGATTGAGGTTATGAATTTATTTCGGATCAGCTTGCATCATTCCATCGTATTTTTCTAGTGTCCGTCGGTAGTGTGGCATGATCTCGAAAGCTCATACAGTTGAAGCTTTTTTAAAGTATGGGATGACACCACCTACCTCCCAATCAGTCTGTCAGTCCTCCTAAACATTAAACCATATAAATGAATCCGGGTTCACTCAGCTTCTGCTAACTTTTTGACATCAGGTTTCGTCTCTTACAGGAAGCAAAAATAACTTCTAAAAGGCGGCTTGCCTGAAAATGTCTGGAATCCACTTTTTATTTTATTTTATGAGGCTTAGAATGCTAATCCCTGGTACAATTTTTCAATGTAGCATTTTATTAGTCATTTGATACGATAGGGTTCAAGCTCAAACTTCCGATGAATAGATCCATCCCAAACTTGTCTAGTATCAGCAGACGTCTCATTCAGAAGCTAAGTGTATGTTGGACAGTGTATTGGATGTGGCTCTTGTATTAACTAGAATGAAAAGATCTATTGAAGTATTGATAGCATATGACTGGATGTTATGAACAGTTATTCATAGGGCTAATTTAGTGACTCCAGATCAGGTGTTTGGCTCGGGGGGCCTTCATTTCTATTTTTAAGCTGGAATCATAAAACTTAAAGTCTAGACATTTAGCGGATGGTCGTTGGGAAGGGAGCATATGTGAGTAATCACACTCACATAGATAAACTATTTGATCAAGTGCAGCTTTTCGCACCTAGCTTGATTGTACTTCGGTATTAGGAGGGAAAGCAGAGTAGGGAGCGC